AAGGCAAGCCGCGGCTTGTCATCTTCGACGAGCAGGGGCTAAACCTCTATGGAGGAAAAGAGAGCACACGCACAGACATCACCTCCGAAGAAGTGGGGGTGGCCGGTGATGTTCCAGCTTCCTCTGTGGTTGGAGTCGAAGCCTTGGGGCCGTCTGTAGCACGCCGACACGGGATCCAGAATAGCTTTGAACAGACTGGTCGACGACGAGGTATTCGCGTTTCTCAGTACGGGAGAGATTTTGGTGATAGCAGAAGACCGCCTCGGGTATATTTAGAAAACAGGGGCCGAAGCCGACGGGGCGTGCCAGCGTGGGGTCCAGTATACGCAGATGTATGCTCATCAACCTACGAAGGCAGGGGCGTCTTGTATGCGGTGCCGGAGATTCTGAGTGATGTTGATGAACAATCTGAAAGTGAGACGCCTCAGGGACCACCGCGCCGTGTATTTGGACAGGGAAAGGAAAGAAGGGTTGAGTACCTCCAAGGTCTGGATGTACGCGCAGGTAACGCGGCTCCTGGACAGGAGCAAGAAGACTTTGGTTTTGCACCAAGCGTTGAAATCCCAGCACAAGCAGAGCTGCAGCCACGCCCTATTGCGCCGCGACAGCGTACCAAGAGTCATAGCTCTTCGTCCGCAACTGAAGATTGGCCCATGGTAGATACAGAGGCAGAAGGTGAGCGCGTGCCAGCACGAACGACTGGAACATCGGGTCAGCGCCCGGATGACGGGACTTGCAATATGGAAGCAGCAAGCAAAAAGTATAATCGAACCTCATCTGAGTGCGAGCAGGACGAAGAACTCCTTTCACCTGTGGCGCAACCAGCACCGCTGGGCATAAAGTCGGCACGTTTAGCACTTGCCCCTATGTGTCCCCTCACTAGCAAAGACAGTGCGGAGCAAGTAGAGGCCAGTGAAACAAGGAAGCACCAGGTTCCAGAGTTTTGGCCTGAAGACAGGTCTGAGAGTACTCTCGTTGAAGATCAAGATCGTGGTGGGCCTCGCACAGCGAGCATTTCAGATTGTGGCATAGCCATAGCATACGGACCACAAGATGAGATAGAGGACGCGGTGGAGTCTACGCGCGTAAGCTTTGCACCTTTGAACGAACCGGCCAAGAAGTCCCACCTGTTGAAGCAGAACAATAGCTACAAAACACCGCCATCACGAACTCAGACGGGAGCAAGGGCGCGCCTCGCTTCCTCGAATGACGAGGAACATGGAAGTGGCTCGACTTCGAGAAATGCTAGAAGGACGAGTAGCAGGGAGAGGTTTCCATCCATGATCAATACGTCGGTTGGCGATGCTGACGAGCCTCCGCCAGGGCGAAGAGTGGAAGCATGGAACGAGCGGCGCTCTACTAGTGGCGAAATCAGTCGCGAGGCATTGCAAGAAAGAAGGTGCTTGGCTTCCATCGACGAGCACCTTCATCACGATGGCAACGAAAATCTGGCAGGCTGTACGCACACAGCTGCAGACCAACAAGGTGCCGCGATACACCAACTAGGAAAAAACATGACCTCAACCCCGAGAAGCCGATCCCTTTCCGGACGCAGCTCTCGAAACCAGCGCAAGATCAGTACGATGAGTTGGAGTTCATATGAAAAGTACGAAACAGTACGTGTAAACCCTCTCGGCCTCCGAAGCTCCGGCGTCTTCTGTCCACCTGAGTCTGCCCCTGAGTCGTCAGCGGATGAGTTGTCTCCTCATTCTGACATTGCGGGAGTGGACAGACAAAGCCCGCCGATAATCGACGGTAGTACCGCAGTGCTGCCTAAGCATGGGGTCCTGCCGTCGTTGGAGCGAGTGGAATATACTCAAGAGGAACGTGCAGAAGAAGACTCCGGTGGGGCCATCGAGGCACTCGGACAGCGCGCACAACGACAGGAAGAAGGCGTATTCGCAGGAACCACATTATCATTAAACGCAACCGCGAATGCTAGTAGCGGAGGCGAACAGCAGGAGAACATGGACGAGGATATAATAGGAGGTCGGGGTGTTCTTCGTCTACCAGAGACTGGATCTGCTCCGACTTTTGATTTCTCGAGCAACTGCGGCGCCATGGAAGAGAGTACACCAGGCAAGGCTTTAACTCCTAGTTCCCATAAGTGCAACTTCATCGAAGATTTGATGCCAGGATCACCCCCCGCCGAAAACCGTGTTATGATGCGGTCGCAAGCGGCCGACTACAACATCGCTGCGGAAGCGAGCAGCCGAAGTACAGAACGGTTTGCTGGAAGTCGGGCGCAACATGCACGTACAAAGAGAAGCGGTCAACAACTACCGGAGCTACCTCGAGAGCGCTTTATAACTGCCACTACTGAATCGGTTGGCTCCGCATCGGCGCAAGGGCGAGGCGTGACGCAAGCCGGGTTACGTTTAGCTCACGGCTCACGTGTTCAGAGACAGCAGAAGCTCGTACACCCACAGTCCTTGCCCCAGTTGATACCTTTGAACGACGACGGTCCTGGGGGCTTCTTGCGTCAGCAAATCGAAGGCTCGCGAGCATCTGACTTCTTGCGGGAACGTGGAGCTGGAGGTGGTGCCTTTCCGTCGTCTCGCAACCGTCGGTTACATGGCGAACATGGAGGCGGCGACAGAGCGCACCTATCCTGGAGAAGTGGGGCAGACCAGCTGAGTAAGATAACTTCAGCGCGCTGTCGATCGTTGGACCGAAGGAGCGACTCCTGGCGTCAGTCACAACAGGCACGCAGCAAGAGCCAGCAGAGAGCGTTAAACATTTTGATGTCTTCAGCGCAGCAACTGTACCATGAACAAAACCAGGATTTTCAAGCAAATGCACGCGCAGGAGCGCAGCATCGTGGTCAGTCAGCAGCACGTGCTGCAGATGGTATTGCTGTGCGCCGAGCTCGTAGCAAGGAGCCGCGTTCTCATTCATTGCCGCGGGGGAAGCGAGCTTGGGCTGGCGGAGGACGAGCAAGGAGTCTTGGCCAGCGCTCAGAGCGTGCTGTCGAGACAGCCAACACAAGCCCAAGTCCCATGTTCGGAAGCTCTGTGCGTACAAACCGAGGTGGGTACTCAAACAAGTGTTCCGGAGCCGCCGATGGGTTTCCGAACGTCGGACCTGCACTTGGTGCTGCCGCACCGGGAATGTCATTTCCTCACGAACACAGAACGGGGCACAGTCCCGTCATGCATCTACGAAACTTTAAGGGTGACTTGGAATCCACGACGAACCGCTTTCGGCCGCTTCCTTCCCGTCTTGGAGATCCGGGAAGTATGATGTCCTATCCCGGAGGACCTGCAAGCATGTCGGGACAGGGTGCAGGTACCGCTGGGCCTGGAGAAACTCGGGTTGCGCATGGAGGTGAAACAGGCGGTCTTATTGCGCATCAAGCGTGTGGACCACTGAGTTCTGCAGGGGATATGGTGCGGCACCACTGTCCGAAGAAGCAAAAGCGTCGCGCTGATCGAGCACCGCATGTCTTGGAGAAGTCACTATTCGAAAACACAAATCCGGACCTCTGTCGTTTCGTGCAGGACGCACGCAAAAGAAAAACGCATCGGAAAATCTGTGATAAGAAAGATCAAAACCCATCTACTTCTGCGTCAGACTTCCTTCATCACCCGCAACATTCTCCGACAGGTGGCACAGGCGGTCATGGTACTGCAGCATCGGGACTCCAGTATTGCATGAATAGTGTCCCACATCACCAGGCCTCTCGAGCACAGTCAAGCGTCGTCGCACAGTCAGCAAGCACGCCAGTGGCCATTCCATATGGAGGAGGTCGCACGACGAGTCACTACCGCCACCATGGTGGTAACAGAGAGCACAAACATGCAGCAGCGAGCTGTTGTTCTTTAGTGGATACTAACCCACTCGTGGAGTACAATACAATGACGCCGCATCCATCTGCCTCTCCCGCGACTTGTGGCTCCGCTGGTGCGCACACTCTCCATACACATCATGTATCGTCGCATCACAGAAGTACTGCCAATACTGTAGGGCACGCAGAGCACATGACGGTATCCTCAGCCAGTGAACACAATCCCGCTCTTTTCGGAAAACGACGAAATCCGAGACTGTCGAAACGAAACGTCACCAGCGGAAAGACATGCGAAGGGCCTGCTGAAGTTAACAAGCAGGGCGCAGCGAGTTCTCCCAGCCCTAATGAGTCACCGTCCTCTAGCAGAGCAACCCCGGAATCTGTCGCAGATTCTGGTCTTCACAACTCCTGGCGAGCAACAGGCTCGTCATCAGGAAAAGATGTGCGATGGTTACCTGCGCCGGTAGCAGCAGCAGCAGAAGCTGCGGACGTACCTCCCCTGAGCTTGACACAGTATCGGGAAGATCCGAATAGTGATGCTCGATTGGCCTGTAATCCTCGCAACGATATTTTAGAACGTACACAACACCAACAGCTGGAGACAGAAGCAACAGGACATCACATTGACGAGTGTGGTATCACTATGGACCGCCTCGTTGACAGCGAACTGGTCCTTACAGCAGTTACCGATGATGGAATGCACACAGGTAATTTGCTACCTGTTGACATATCCTCGGGTTGCATTCAACTCCATGCGACACCTCAACATCTCGACAAAGTACATACCGACGGTGAGAATTATGTCGACGTTGTGACTTTCAGCGGACAAGAACATCAGCGACAAACTGGGGCATCCGCAATGCTTTCTTCATTATCCTCTTCCGTGTCTGCAACAGCGCGGCGAGCCTCGCGAGGAGCAGACGATCCGGCCTCCGGCCCATGCGAAGTCGGACATCTGCAAAAAACACAAAAACAGTTGGGAGATGTTGGAACTGGAAAGTTGAAGAGCAAGTCGCCAACGCCCGAAACTGGAGGATATAAAAACAATCATGGGAACCTACCAAAGCAGCGGAGAAGCAGTGTGTACTCGACTCCTTCGAGTGTGATTTCGGCAGTTTTCTCGTATCACGATCAAATGGTAAGGGACCACGAGGAGCAGGCCGGCGCGTCAATGGCTCCAGTGTCTGCTCCTCATTCTCCCTCCGCGTATCTTGTTGGAAGCCGCAGACGTTCGTTCGTCAGAGCTGGTGTAAACGCAGATAATTCAACGAATCTTCCTGCTTTTGTTGAAGCGAATCACGAACAGCACTTTCGAAGAGAGCAAAGCAGCAATGTTGGAGGACCAAGTAGGCGGCCTTCCTCAAATACTATTAATATTTTCGCTCCACCAGCACGAAGAAGGTCAAGCCTTGCTTCTCAATCGGGGCGTCTTGCTCCGTTTGGGTCACCGTGTTCCTCTGGCGATAGGTCTGCTACCTGGGGCAGTCCGGGCCAACGTGTAGGACGTAATCAGCAATCCAAGAACGTGTTGGCTCCGCCTGGTGCTAGTTCGGCGAGAATTTCAATTACCAGCTGTCGTAGCAGCGGGGCATCTTCTGCAGGAAAGTTGCAATTGGAGGAAAAACAGCCTATTGAGGATGCTCTTCACATCACAGCGAGATCGAGCGTCTCATCCCATCGAAGTTCCTACCTGACGAGAGGAGATGGCCTCGCCAAACAAGAACAACGCCAAGAAATTGACCAAGAGGAGCAGATGAAACTATATCTTAATGAGCAACACTACAAAGATGTTGAGGTTGTAGTTGATGTTAAGGACAAGCATGCTGTGTCTTCGCTGGAGGAGAGCGGCACGACTCGAAAAATAAGACATCAGGAAAATCGTGTGAACTTCGCTGTTGGAGGAGATGTCGCTGAACAAATCCTTTTGTCGCCCAGTAGAAGCACCTCAGGGTCGTCTGCTGCCACAAGCAGGCATAGTGACAGGACTGTGCGCAAAGGAAATCGAGGGAACGCTGAGACCACGACAACTGGAATAAGATTAATGGGTTACAAAGAGTCTCCAAGAGAACCAGAAGAGGCGGAGCATTGGCAAAAGCTCCATGAGCAGGTGCATCTCCTGCAGCGGAGCAGGGGGCCTATCCTCAGCGATGCCGATGCTGCTACGCAGCGGGAACAAGATGCCGATCGAGATGATAGTGACGCGGGTTCAGTGGAGGAGGAGTATGCTGAGAGTCCTGCGGTGTTTGCAGAAGAAGAGTACCAAGAGAAAAAAGAAGAGCTAGAAAAAGAAGTACGCGAACTTCTGCGTGGAGCACGTGCGATCTACGAGGATGTCAAGGCTTTCAACGATTTCCGAGTCTGCTCCTGCACCACTCGTGGTCGACGTATCGGAACTACACTCCTCTAGTTGTTGATATAATGCATCTCTTAGCAAGACTTCTCTTTTCGCGTTGATATTTCTTCATCTTTGCATGATTATGATCTGCATTTTTTTTTTAGATCCAGGATTTCTATCTTTCAAGGGCTTTGATGTTCTTGGTCTTCTAGCCTCTTTGTCCGATATTTTTGCGATCAATATCATCAAGAAAAAACAAGTAGACATTTGCTAGTACTCGTTCTTGCCACTTGATCTCCATGAAACGATTATGTATTCAGTATACTTCCAATGTTGTATTCAGGTAAGAAGAACGGCACTCAGGACGATGCGGAGAAGAACAATACGAATGGGAAGGGAAGAGACCAGTGGATGCGTGCAATTCGCAAATTGCGTCCTCTTTTTGCTCGCATCACGTGCACCGATCCACCTGTATTGAATATCGCCTTACCTATCCACGAAGTCAGTCTGTACTTTCGTCAGCTAAAAGCCTGCTTTAATCTTCTGCTCGATCCTGCCTTGCAGCAACAGGCGGCCGATCCCACAAAGGTGCGAGAATATCTTGGGCGAAAGCCGCAAATGCGTCGCTTTGGGGCCCACCTGGAACTTCTGGGTGCGCCGCCAGATGAAGGGACCTCTTCAGCTGGAGCGCTGCGCAGTACGCGAAGTAGGGGAAATAGCGCGTATGGTGGCTTAGCACGACGTCGTTCAAACAGCGCCGCAAATGTTGAGAATGACGTAAAAATGCGGAGAAACGACGAGAGGGAGCTTCACCTTCAGGCTGCGCGACTCCGTGCAGCAAACCTTGGTGCCTACAACTACCGCGCTGAAAACGACGAGCACCAGCATCGCCTAGGTCCTGGGACGAGCGGAAGCGCAGATGGAAATGATCCTAGACACTTCGAGCGACGGTCACGATCAGCAAGTACAGTGTCGCATTGCAGCTCAGAGGCGGCGACAGTCTATATTGAAGACTACGACGATCTCCTTGACGAAGATTTTGGCGAAGAGGCAGGTCATGACAATCAACAGCGCCATGGTGTCGATGTCGCCACAAGCGAGAAGCAGAAGAGCTCATCCGAAAACCGAAATGAAACCCAAATTGTCCGTGAAAGTGGAGGTTCAGTGTTGTTGAAAGAAAAAAATGCAATGATAAAGCAGGACGAGGAGCCTCCACCTGGCATTGCAGTTGTTCCCGTTGATTACGATGTTGAACTAGCACTTGGTAACCCCAGTTTTCTTGGAGAGAAAGTTTCAGATGACCAAGGGCATGAAGACGGCCAGGACTGCAGGAGTCTAGAAGACGCCAAATACGGAAATTCAAAAATACAAGCTGCAAGTGAAGAGCATCAAAAGCCGCTGCTCAGCGACAATGTTCTGGATGTTGTGATTCATGCTGAGACGAAGCATCTAGACCCACAGAAAGAGCGGCCGTCTTCTCTTACTGAAAAGCGGAAGTCTTCAACATTTTCGTCTTCTCGTAATCGTGCTGGTTTCTTCGCGTGGCTTTTCTCAAGCTGCTGCAAAAAGAGGCGCGGTTCTAAGGCTCGAGCAGCGGCCGCGGGCGAAGATTCACTGGAGGTGTTAGAACCCCTCTTAATCCGAAAGAGTAATTCTGCCCATCGAGAAAATGAGCACTTCGATGAAGCGAAATCGTGGCACGACTTCGAGCTCGAGAAAAAAGAGAAGAATACAGGGCTGCTTCCGAAGTCTTCGGGTATCAACAATCCAAGTGAGTCCCACGAACAGCAGCTTTCGTCCTCACGACGTAATGGGCATCCTTTGGGTCGGGAGTCCGAGAATGCGATGACGCCACCAACTACTACTACAACAGCAGCATCGATAAAGTTGACGACTAGTATCGCGGTCGGCGATAACGTCTACCTGTATGTGGTCAAGCGCTCACTCGAGTTTGTCTACGAGGCACTTGGGCAGCTAATTATTCTGATCGCCGACTGGCGGATCCAGTATCAGATGAGCACCGAGAACTTTTTAAAGCATGGCATGCCAGCACACGCGTCGCAAGCCGAAATGTGGCGGCTCAGCTACTTTTTGATGAATGTGTCCCTGGTGGTTCGCGAAACGATCTACTATGTGCAGGAAATCATCGTGTTGTTGATACCTGACGACGAAGTCGGTATTCAGACGAGTCTACTTCACGACTTTTCGTTGCTTTTCGCAAAGGTAGATGCGTGTCATAACGTGACGGCGTTCGAACATGCAGCCAAGCATCATAATGCAGTTTCGCTGTACCAAGAAGATCAACATCAACAACGTGCTGCAGAACAACTGGGTCGATACCTTCTCGACGACGACGATGAAGGAGGGCTACGTCCTTTTTTTAGTCACGCTATAAACCGCGGTCACGAGGATGATGTCCTTGATCAAGAGAATGATCAGAATTCTATGAAGAATTACGATCATCTACTTGGTGAAAGTGGAAATAGCAGAACGCATCCGAGACAGCGACGTCGTTACCTTATGCAGCCGGATCTTCCTGCCGGTGTTGAGACCGTATAACCTCGACCGAGGGTGAACAGCATAGGACATGAGTGGTGCAGAATATGTGCGGAGACAATCAATCAATATCAATGCTGCCTGCCACCGTGCTCGCCGCGAAGGCAGTTGTCGCGAAGACGCTTGTCGAATGGTTCTGGCATGGATCCATGATCGTGCACCTCGCTGATGGAGTAAAACGGCTCGATAGAACAACAGATAAGCTAGGTCCAGGTTGGCAATTGTGCAGTAGAAGCGCAGATAAGCCAAAGAAGTTCGTGAAGACGGGGCGAAGACGGTAGCCAAGCTGACACGATTCACGGGAACGAATCACACGCGCATTGATACACTGGGATGCTCGGGCACTTCTGGAAACATTTTTCTACCAAGTAGAAAACTCTAGCTCTCTCTAACAACGACCAGCGACACAAAGTCTTAAGCAAAATTAATGAACCAGAGTTGTATAGATAATCTGATGATTTTACTATCTATAGTCAATCTGTCTCTAGTTTACAGCACACTCTTATGAAAATTTGAATGACCACGCACACGCACCGCCTTATATTCGTTTCAAATGTCGAGACAGATCTCTCACCTGCGCTATTCGCTACTCGTAATTGTTTCGCTTGCGTATTGAAACTTGTTACAAATACATACTTAGTTTTTGCTCTTGTTGTTGTTGTTGTTGTTGTTGTACTAGAAATTGCAGCCATTGTTCGATTGTATTTTCCTGTCATTCTCTTCAGCATCTTCCATGATTTTTATGTACATCCTCTAAAAGATAATGATCATCCCTTTTACAATACCATACCTCCATGTCCAGCACGGCATTATTTCCAACCCGATAAGAACCAACATCAACGTTCAATATGAGCATCACTAGCACTACGACAAAAAGTGCGGCATCTTCTCCGCTTGGTTGCAGTTTCTCTTCGTATCCCATTTTTCCCAACAAGTTTCTCTTTCCCTCAGATAGTTACCCCCAGCCCAATCTAAGTTGCGTAGTGATAGATAGGGCTAGTAAGATGTTGCTGGTCAACATGTAAAAATGTTCGTGATGTCATTGAAAAGTCATTGTTTGGAAAATTGAGGCCGTTCAAAATGTACATAATTCAATGTTAGTACACATCTCATACGATTGCTTTTCCTACCACTTGTAGGAGTGAAGATTCCTTTTTCCAAAAAATCGAATGCTCGATGGTTAATTTCATATCCTTCCGCACGATCCTGATCTTCCTCCTCGGAGTTTTCTCTCTCGGTCTCGTGTACCTCCTGCTCACAGTACTATCTAGCGCGCAAATCAATGGTTGATGTTCTACCCATTCTACGACTGACGCACAGGGGCCTTTGCAAATACCGAGAAGGGACGATGAGGAGAATTTTCACTTCTAGTTCGAGACCGAGATGAATGAAATGTAAATGATGAACGAATTTCGACATAATTTTACTGAGAGTAGATTGACTTCTTAAAGAACGGAGGTGTATCTCTAGGTCTGATCTCCTTAATCTGGTGAGAAGAAAATTAACATGCTTCACCCAGCGTAAGTGAACATCAAAAGTTTCTGTCGATAAGGACAAATCAAATACAAGGTGAAACTGCATAATAACCGAGAAGATGAAGAAGTATGCACATCTACTGCCTTCGGAGTCGCACAGTATACAGGAGGATAAACGAACTTTATATCAAGAACACTCAATCTCAACTACAGGCCAAGTGCAAGTTTTGATTTATCTGCAGTATACTATAAGAATAAGGCATGCAGAATTGCAGATGTAGTCTCTGTCGTTCTTTTGATCATTGGTTTTTATCTAGTGAACATTTGAACTACAACAAAGTGCATTCAACTTGAAAGAGACATGACAAGACATTTTCAATAGAAGTAAAACCAGAAAGAAACAGCAACTTTTTTATGTTTGTGCGCGGAGTTAGTCGCATCAAAAAATGTCGTTGGAGTTTGGTGATTTAGTCTTGGTCATCGGCGACCAGCATATTCCTCAGAGGGAGAGGGACTTGCCGGAGTGCTTCAAAGAGTTGCTTAACACGGACAAAATCAAGATCGTTCTTTGCACCGGCAACTGTGGATCGCAAGAAGGGCTCGACTCGTTGCAGACATTAGGTACTTTCTTTCCTCATGTTGCGTGTCCTCCTTGTGCATGTGCGCTGTGGTACTTGTAAATGAGTAAACTGTGACTTCGACATCTTTATCTTCTTGTTGTCGTCCAGCATAAGATCCGAATTTATTTCTATGCTATTCGCTGCAGGTCATGAGGTGCACGTATGTCGAGGTGAGACAGATATCGGGAATTACGGCAAGGATCTTCCCGAGTCGCTTGTTCTGGACGTCGGGTCCTTCAAGGTAGGTGTCATTTCCGGATACCAGATTGTCCCCTGGCAGAGCGAGGCGTCTCTTCTGCAGTGGCAACGCAAATTGGGTTGCGACATCCTCATTTCCGGCCACACCCACGAAGCGCGCTATTTCACACTGAACGGAAAACTGTTTCTGAACCCGGGGAGTGCAACGGGCGCAGCGCAGCACTACGATGCGGCAAAACAAATCGCCAACGATTTCGCAGAAGCCGCGCGGGTGCTGCTTGCGTCTGCTGCACCGGCCGCAACAAGTAAATCTCCTTCGAAAGCGGCGGCTTCCAAGACCTCCGCGGAAGGCGAAGCGGCCGCTCCATCTGAACAGGAAACAGGTGAAGCAGCAGCTCTTCTGGCAGGCTCCCCAACTAAATCCGAGAATGCTGGCGCGGAGAAACCAAAAGCTGAAGGTACAACTGCGGACACGACGAGCGCATCTCCCGAAAAATCAACAGAGGGAGCAGCTGCCACTACGAAAGCAGATGGTGATGGAAGCAAACCATCCTCTCCGGGAGACAAGGCGAAGCCGGAGGGCGAGACTTTGTCTAAAGACTCGAGTAATGTTGTTGACTTGCTAGGCGGATTGGACACCATTGAGGGACCGGCATCGGGCGTAGACGCAGAGAGCACGGGGCCGCCTCCGACACGGGCAAACACTATCTGCGTGGGCCCGGCAGCGGATCAGACGCCCGACCTTTCCGGGCTGAACGCAAAGCTCGAAGAAGTCGCCAACCCAGCAGCGCCAGCAGACATGCCTCCTGCCGTAGTGGAGGCGGCGGCACCTCCGACAACGCAATCTCCCCAGTCGGGTGACGGAGCTGCTCAAGGTGAAGCTGCAGCAGCCCCTGCTGCTGAGGCGGCTGCCCCCGCGGCCGCTCCGGCTGCACTGCCGGTGATCGGCCGACCCACGCCCTCCTTCATGCTGATGGCAGTCCAAGGATCCAAAGTGGTCGTCTACATCTACAAGGAAGTCGATGGGGAAATTACAGTCGACCAGTTCGATCATCAGAAAATGTGAAAGTGAATGGTTGTAACACTACTTATATATATGTTCATCTGCCTCTTCGCCCTTCACCGAGGAAAACATTTGTTCTAGGATAGCTTCGCGTATGATAGATAAGTGTGCCTCTTCATGGAAGTAGTACCTAGTGCTTGCCACGCTTTTTCGTCCACCCACTTCTCCCTCCCTGATTCCTCATGTACCCACAGCATAGATATGGTAGTCACTCGGCTCCTCCTACATGCCGCAAAGAAGTGACTTTTTATTTTCAAAAAATTAAAATGATTTCTTAGTACACCGTTACAACGACTGACACTGATAAGATGAAGACCCACACTCTTACGAACAATTATGATTTCTTCAAAGAACAAGGTTGTTGTAGAGGTATTTCAGCAGTGAGATCCCAAGAAACTCTTCCCGGGTACCTTAGCGACCGGCGAAAACGATGATAGCCGAAAGCGGCACAAAGTTCGACGTGGTTTCTGATCATTTTACATCACAAGTTTTTACCTAGCTTCTACGGCATGTAAGCACGGCATGTGAAGATCAACTGTTGTATTAGACAACGCAATCGATCCTTCCAAGTTGAAATTTGCGACCAGGAAGGACCCCGATGGTCTTTCCATAGGCTCGCACCCTTTCTGTTCCTTTCTTCATGAATTTAGGCCAAAAAAAGAATGAGAATGATTACGCGCTCCGCACAAGTGCAAACGATACAACTGCGGCGATCTTCACTAGTACCACTTAAAGACGTCGATGTGTAAGTAGTCAAATTTGTTGCAATAGCCCTACGGTCCTCGTCACGAAAGGCGATATCAGGGGCACATACATGACATGCAATATCCTTTGAAAGAAATATAAAATTATGATTGCTGCGTCGTGGTTTTTTCTTTTCTCAATGTGATGGCGTCCGACATCATTTGCACAGGTGGTAGACGTGTTGTTATAGCACGCCTAAGGGGCTGCGCTTAGTTTTATTTGTCTGTTGGTGGTGTGAAGGCTACTAACAGATTCTCATCTGGTCCTAGTCAAACTTCCGTGGTCATATAATTCTGTAATATTATCTCAATTTCTAGATATTAACTTGAGTCAGTCCTCTAACTTAAGTTGACTTGTACGTACTTAGTTAATACTGGAGCGACATTTGTGGTATTGGCAACCAAAAATGGCAGCTGCTCCAGATACAAGTTCAGCGGAAGCGCTCGTGGAGCAGGGAGCGAAGGAGATAAAAAACCCGACACCAGAGCAGCTACAGCAAGCGTTACAGCAAATCGATAACGAGATCAGCTTTCTGATCGGGAAAATATCAGACCTCGATCAGGAGGTAATTCAAAAGATGATTGTGCAGCGCGAAGTTGGAACGAGAAGACGCCTTCATGTTGCATATGATGGATGAGCACCCAAATTTCCATCGTGTTCCAAGAACATCTATTCTATCATGATAAACGTTATATATTACTTATTTACTTAGATGGTATTTTTTGCTAACTCGTCAGTCTCTCTCGCTCTCCCACAACTTTACAGAAACGGGAACACGAACTGGTTCTTAGCGCATTGGAGAAAGTTCCGGATGCTAGGAGATGTTGCCGTATGGTTGGCGGAATCCTGGCAGAACGTATAATTCTAATTTTTCTTCTTCACGTTTTCATACGACGTACTACACAAAATGGAATTATTTTACGGGAAATTATCCGGAGTGGTCACCGCAGTCTTTTTTTCAATCCATCCCAAGCAACTATACCCAACAAATAACAGGAACGGTGAAGGAGGTCCGGCCACAAGTTAAAGACAACAAGGAAAGAATAGACGGCGTGATAGGGAAGTTTAAAGAGGACCTTGAGAAGAAGGGAAAGATCAGGAAGCAGTTCGTTCAAAAGTACTAGTCTTTTCTGAGGTGTCTTCTGTCGATTCTCATCTGTAGACTTTTTTGGAAGAACGCTTCCTTGTGATCATTATTTTTTCGAACCAAAGAAATGCAAATCATGCATCCAGTTCATCTAGCCTATAGCTTTACTTTGTGAGTCACCAGGTGAGTATTGTTTTGCATCACATTTTCTAAAACATACTAGGTACAATTTGAACCAGACATCCCAAGCGAATCCGGTTGCGCAGACCAAGCAAGCAAATCAGCAGGCAGCCGGGGTGCTTGTGTAGGCGTTTTGCCCGACCATCTACTGTTCTTCCGGATGTGCATATGCCGTTCGCAGCAAAAGAGAAATGTGACTCCACCCCAGAAAATGCCTCATACTTTTGAATACTCTATCCCCATTGGCCCTTGTCATGAGCATATTGGTTGATGAATACTTCAAGATTTACGTCGTGTGACGAAATAGTCGAAGGACAGCCTTCTTGTTGGTCAATATTACTTATTCTGTATTTCTCGCTTGACAAGAAGTTGATGCACTTCCAATAGTAAAATAAAGCGATGACAGATGACACTATCAACGAAAGGTCCTGTGCTCGGTCTCATCACCAGCACATTCCCTTGACAGAAGGCGCAATTGCTCTCCGTCTTCTGTCGTTTTCTGGAACACGTCAAGGATTTACAAATTGGAATCTTCCTGCAAGCTGGAACGAAGTCCAATGAAAAAAACGTCGAGGTCTGATATGATGAGAAGCGACTTTTAGTAGAGTTGTTGACTAAAAGAGCATAGGTATTATACGTATACATAGATAGCTGGAGGAGCAGTGGCACAAGGACAAGTTGAACCCACGTTGCGAGTGATACACCATCGAGAGATACGAGAATATATTCTCGAGTTTGAAAAACGGTCAGGCTAATGACTAATATTATAGCAATATTGCGGAGCGTCCGCAAGTGGCGACCGCAAGAACAAAGCCAGGGAAGGGCGCTTCATGACGAAGTGAAAACCAAAATGGAAAGTCGATTTTTAGATGTAAGTCAAATCAGAAAGTTTTTTCAGTAGGAAAAGAAAAGGTCGAGAAGATACTATCCGGCGATGCGGCTCTCGCGGTTGCGACTCGACGGTTGTGGTCGCAGAAGGCGAGACTTCAGTGAATAGTGACGAGAGCTGGTGCGAGCTCAGAAGCACCTTGCCTTCGTAGCAGGTTCTTAGAACTCGGACTACGACTTAGCAGAAGGTTCTTAGTAGAAGTAGCCAATCCCCACCTTGTGTTGCTGGCCCAGACGTGCTTCTTGCTCGCGTGCTTCTTCTGGGGCGATAAAATCCATCGCCGAACGCGGCGCGCCGCCACCTCCATTAGCGGGGTGATTACGCTGCTCCTTCTCTTGTCCCACAAGCTTCAGCCGTCGAAGACGAAGTCGAGAAAATGAAGGACGAGGCGAAGTGTTGCATGTGCTGCTGGTTTGTGGTTTGTCTCACTTCCATAATCCTTTTCGCGTGCTCGTTTACGATCCTAGACGTCAATAATTTGGGCCTCGAGTTCAACTCGATAAATCGCCAATACAGCAAAGAAAAAATTTATGGCCCCGGCAGGTACTCAAACTCATACGAGACGATGTTTCAACATTTTCTTCACCAGCTATACAACAAGTGGGACGGACTAGAATTATAGATATTTATATATTGCAAAAACTTCATCATCATCTGCGCACGTCGTCAGCGTAGTCAATGAGGGAGACGCTGACGAATCAAAATATCAAACTGCGTCATTGTCATGCTAAAAACGTCTCAAGGTATATGCTGGGTTTGGCAAAGCGATTGGAAAGTTTTCCGACAACGTGGACTCCACTGGCCTTTTGTTCCGGCTGTCCAGATGGCGCTCCAATTACAGGCAGAATAGGAATCGGCAGTAGTGCGGTGTCAGTGCATGTTTCACTATCGGTCTACTACAAGCTTCGTGTGGAATACCTTCCTGAGGTACTCATATTGTTGACCCATCATGCACCAAGAAACATATATAATACTATCGTTTGTTGATCTATTCATATGCTTGTACCCGAACAACCATAGCAATTACTGCTTGGTACAAAAGAAATAGAGCTACAACGAACTACAACAAGAACTTTAGTTTCGACTTGATTTTTTCTACGTCGGAGGGACATTGAAGATTTTTAACATCGACATCAATGCATCCATGGCCTCTCAGATAATTTCGTTGTTTCCGACGAAAAATTGGGAAGCGAGATACATCACAATCATAAAGAATGCAGTCGCGGTTGTCATTGGAAGTGGTGTCCTTTCGTATGAGAGCAGAATTTTCACTTAAGTGATGACTCTCTAGAATTTGAAGAAGTCTGCGGACCACTTCAGCTAGAGTAAGAGGGTTTCGAGGTGGTTGCCGTGGCAGCGGCGCCACCTAACAATAGAGGGGAGGCTGGCGGACTTTGTTCCAACGGCTCTGCACCATGCTCACCGCCTGAGCCTCTCCCAGATAGCAAGCGCGATGCCAGTGACCCGTAGCGAGCAGAGACAGCAAGAGCATGAACAACCCCCAGCGGGCTCCACGGCACCCCTGGACATTTTGGGGAGGCCGTTCCATCTTTGCTACCTTGGCGATGCCGACTGGTGTTGGGCTTGGGAGGTGGCTGCCTGGTGCTGACATCTAGAAAGGTCTCCTAGAGTGATAGGCTACCGGAAGGCCCGCCGAAATCCGGCAGGCCGTCAAGGGCACCGTCATCGCCATTGTCAGCCCCCTTGTCAACGTGCGGCCGGGCTGTGGCGCTCTTCGGTGGGTTGTCCCTGTCATCCATGCGGCCAGCTATGTCCGGCTGCCAGCGCCTCGCGCCTGTGTGTCTTACACGTACCACCATCAAGACGCACGCACTGCGTCAGGCTTGCACAGGTTGCCCAGCAAGGGCACGCCTCAGCGCATGCCAGCCCCAGGCGTGCGTGCGTCCGGCGCTGCTTGTCAGGCCATGTGACTGCAGGAGGCAGCTTCGCTTTTTTGTGGGACTCGGGTCGCTTCAAAGTAGAAGCCCGAGGAAGGTCGGCTTTCGTGGCCGGGGGCCTTCGTCGGGTGGACCAATCTACTTAGCAGCCGCAACGCCGCCGCCGAGGCCTGCTCTATTGCGAGGTGGCGCTGCTGCCACGACAAGGACCTCGAACCGCCTTCACTTACTTTAGCTAAAGTGGTCCACAGACATCTTTAAATTCTAGAGAGTCATCACTTACGTGAAAACTCTGCTCTCATATTTCGATAGATGATTTCATAACCAACAGGGATTATGTGAGCAAGGTTATGGGATGGGAGATCAACCAACGGCTTGCTCCAATCTATGGGTACTCCTATTCTATGTGGTAGTTAGAGGAGCACGACCACGCTCTCGAGTAGCGTTGTAAGAAAAACGACGAAAAAATTGAACAGTTGTGGGTCTCGTTATGTTTTATTTCTACTTGATATTTGTTGAAGGTGATGAAAATAGACATAGACCTGAAGATATTGTGTTTCTTTATCCTCTACTCATTAGGATTTGGTACTTCAAGCGACCACGGGCTATAAGCCAGCCTGTTAAACAAGATCACTGCTCGTGATTACACCCCAAGCACAAGCAGGTATGTGACTGCAGTGTATCTTGGTGTCATCGGCCTTGGTTCTACGGAATTCAGTTCAATCGATAACGTTTTTCTGCAGAAGGAGATCGCTAACCGACGAGCCGTTACCTCCAGTGTGGTGGGTCAAACCCAAGTGATCGAAGCGCAGGCCGCACAAAACGTCTCCAAAATCTATGCAGAGGAACGGCAACTTTTAGATGATACCTACCGACAAACGAACTTCACTGTTGCAGAATACAATGCGCGTGGACAAGCGATTCTTCTCGACGCGCAAGGAAAGGGCTATCTTTACGTGCAGAGTCGCTTCAACTTCTCGCAAACAGACCTGATCAAATTCATCTATTTCGATAAAATGAGAGATCACGTTCAGCGCATTGTCGGAGGATTCGATGACGCGAAGTACAACTCTCTCGTTACGACCGTATAGTATGACGGTATCCTCCCCAGCCCGAGCTTCACCATGAAAGTACTTCCCCTGGAGCAGGACACACCCTCTTTTTTATCTCGTGCAGAACACTCAAAGGAATACCCCGGTTATTAAAAAATGACTCCTTATGTAAGTATCGTTTTCGTTGCTTTTCTTTTCCAAACAAGGCCAAGTGTTTTCCATGACTTTGCGACAAGTCTGAGAAACATCTGACCATCGTTCTCTATTTCACTCGGTCTCTCTTCATCTTCATGCAGCACGGTAAAAAAGTATTTAGCCGTCGTTCCTTACCCGGCTGATTAGCTATAAGGTCACGCACTCGAATAAGCTTTCTAATCAGAAATCGAGCTACGAAAGAGTAGATAAAAAAAAACGCGGACAGCTCAGCAACAGGGACATGTTGCGCTGTGTTGCGTCTGTGTTCGGCAGCCTAGAGTAATCTATGGCTATACTATCACGACGATTTGTTCTCTTTTGGAGAAGCTACAACGATCTGTGGTTCCTTGCCTCATTCAAACAATGATCTTACCATCTGATCTCAATGTCCGGTCAGCGTTCTTCTACCTGATATAGTATCTTCGTCCTGAAGACTTAAATGCACTGCTTTCACCAAAGCAAATCGAAATACTTGAAGACGAACACCAGCATTTTTTTACTCATTGCTCTGGTGGTCTTCAACGACCAACAAAGCGATGTTGCACGAATGACTGTCAAATGAATATGATTGCTGCGATGAATAGATATTGTTTTGTTTGTTCTCTCCTTCATAGGCCATTGTTCTCGACTGCCAGCGTGGTTGCAAAAAAGAAGCACAAGAAGAGACTGAAGCAAAGTAAAATCGATTATCACGACTGAATCTGAAGAATTTTCCAACCATAATTCGTGAGGAACGTGTTCTTTCATGAAAGGAATGTAGTCAGATGAATAAAATTGACGAGCGTTTACAGGAATGACCTGACTCTCGATCATCTACCCAGCAAGACGATGCTCCACCACAAGTCTTTGCGTTATGATCATGTCAATTTGTTTTGTTGCAGCGCAATGGACTAGGTAGCTGTACTTCTAAATATAAGTTGTAACGTGCTGACCTTCTCGTCCTCAACGCTTAGGATCCTAGTACGCATTGTGACAGTAACCCTAACCGCTATTGGACCTGTGATATCCTCCTTGATCAAAAACATTGCCAGTCAGCTATTTGATCCAAACGGTGAAGACGTGCGTCTGTCGTCAATATTTCACAGTTGGTTGCTGTCTTGTCGTGTGTTGTGAAAGTTTTCATTGTCTCTTTCGTCTTTCATGATTTATTCTTACGTGCCCGCTCCTCTAAAAAACTACCTTTGTGTGGGAGCTTACTGTATGCTGTATTTTCGTGTTTAATGGTGGTTCTTGCGTGATCGGCGTATGGGTATGGCTCTCCCCTAACTGTATGGTAATGGTGTTGAACAACTAAGTTAAGGATTTCACACTCTCTCTTTCCTCCCCATTTTTAGAAAAGTTGTAGCTTCTAGCAAGCTCTCGGGCATATCGCTTGTAGCTTCGAACTGTTAGTGTTGTTGTAATCGCTGCTCAAGAGTACAATATTTCACGAGAGAAGTTTGTTCTTCATCAAAAATATCAAGTCAGCAAGAAATTCTACAACTGGAGCCTTCTAATAAATCCTGCTGGAGACAAAAAGATCATCAAGATGCCGAAGTTGTTCGATTTGTCCGCTATCAAGCTGACGCGTGCTCAGGGTGCGCATGCGCTGGAATTGATAAATCAGAACATCAAGTTCCTGGCTTTGACCCCGCAATCCATTCGATCTCTGGAGCAGCTGGCTAAGGCTCTCCTTGCCAAACCAGCGGCTGACAGCGCAGCGGCGGGTACGGACACTGGGCGTCCGGAAGATGTGCTGAACAACTTCGATTTGACCAGTCTACGTTTCTCTGCGGCTCAGTGCTTCAAAACGTGCCAGCTCTTTCTCGATAACGCAGATGTGCTGGAATTGGACGTGGATCAGGCAAGTGTGGTGGACGAATTCTCCCAGGAATTCGCCAACGCAGAATCCGAAGTCGAGAGCCAAGAGGAGGAAGTATGCACTCTTAAACATTCCAATCATCTTCTACGGCTGTCTCTGCTAATGCTAAACTATTCTTGCTCTTTGTGTTTTCAGGACAGAAAAGAAGAAGTAGAACCAATAAATCCAAAAATTCTAAATCTACTACTTCTTGTACGAGAACCTCCTTTTTCTTTAAAGTAAAATTTCAAAAATCGTTCCCTTGTCCCGTCTTCTAATACCCGATGCAGCACGTCGTGGTGGTGCTTAATGTGCTGCTGCGACGGACTGGCTCCCTCGATTACAATAAGACATTAAAAGACAAACAAAAAGAAAATTATGTTCAGGATGGCAACTCATCTTTTCAGTTTTAGATAGTACGAGCAAATCTTGATTGAAGATTGAGAAACGCACCACTGCAAAAATTTGCAGTGCTACTGCCATTTTTACGCTAGCGCCGCCCTTAGCCATGAAGATATGTCGCAGCCCGCCCCCGCCTTTATATGACATACCACGCGTCAGTAACAGTAACATGATTAATGAATTCAAGAGTCCCATTAAAGCAAGCGTTTTCAATAACCAACTAGGCCGAAGTGTACGAAAAACACGTCGACGAACTGGAATGCACTATCGTGAACGAGAACCGTCGCAAGGTCTGCCGTTTGTATCTGATCGGAGAGTGCCCATTTGAGGACTTGTGCCCGCTCCGTCACCCCAGCAAGGAAGAACTGGACAAGCTGTACTCCTACTATGCGTCTATTCCGTGCCGCAACTTCGATCGCTGCAAGTTGAAGAACTGTCTGTACCAGCATCCGGGTGGACCAGTGAAGGGCAGCATCCAGGACCAATACATTCGCCGCGTTGTGAAGGGCGGGCGGAGCACAATCTGCTTCAAGTTTTTGAGCGGAATCTGCGATCAAACTGCGGAACAGTGCGACAAGTTGCACGCTAACGCAGACGAGGCGGCCAAAACGATCCAGAAATGCCGCGCTAGTACGTGCAAAAATGGTCCGGAATGTCGTGTCGCGGGTTGCCTTTTCAACCACTCCGGTTACCCTGTGTGGTACGTGCCGAAGTCTAGAGATTCCGTTTGGTGGGGTCGCGGCTGGGATGAGGAACTGGAGAACGAGAAAAAAGAGATCCAGTTCTGGTACGAAGGCAAGCTCCGTGAGGCTGCAGATTACTACGAGACCAAGCTTCAAGAACTTGATGACTGGTATTCAATGGTTCTCGTTTTCCTCTATCATAATGCTGTGATTTATATTCATTACGTTGTTTGATTCATCATGATACTGAAGGGCTATTAGAATAAGAAGTCTTGTTCTAAGTCCACGTCTGCATCATCTTTTGTGCGACATCGATGCGTGTGGTACCCGATGAAGCATGCGCTTCAGGTTCTAATCATCTTTTGACCAATGAATAGGTATTCGGCCAAGTGCCGCAAGATGGAGGACGATATCCAGTGTCTGGAATGCAAAGACGAGGAGCACGAGCGAACACTGGCGCAGCAGGCTGCGAGCTATAATACCCAGATAGCAGAGATGCAGGCCCAACAACAAAAGGCGATCCAGGAGGCACAGGCTGTTTCTCACCACCAGAACGGCTACAACGCAGCACCGCTGCCGACTCCAGCCGGTGGAAAGCAAAGTACGGTGATCTACGTCGATGCACAGGGACGGGCTACGACGCAGACCACAACGACGGTCGCTGCACCGGCTGCTCAAGGTAACCAAATCCATCAAGTCTCCCGTGAAGAGTGGGGCGAACGTAGTTCCTCTGGAACTAACGCCGCGCGCGGCGCGCCGGCTGAGTACGGCCGCCGTGCGGGCGGCGACAACAAGTCATCCTCTAATAACACATCGTCGAATACGAAATCCGGTTCGGGAGCTGCACCGAAGGAGTTTCTCAAGCCGGCTCCGGGCAAAGAGAAGACGCGAAGTGCTGCGCCACCGGCACGCTACAAGCAGGAGAAGCGAGGTGGAGATCATGACGACGTGAGTGACATCAGCGGCCGCGGCGAAAACGACGAAATCGAATTCGTGGAGAAATCGAAGCCGAAAAAGCGAAAACAGGAAAAGCCTCGAGTTGTGCTCACCGCGAAAGGGGGAGATATGGAGTATCAATGAGTTTCGATGATCTTCAGGAGGTGAAGATTTTTCCTTCGTAGTTGACGGTCGGAGGTTCTTTAGCACCTGTATGCAAAGGAGGTTCTTTAGCACCTGTTTGGCTTTCATCTATTTGTGTGTATTAGATGAATTCAAATATAAGTAGAAAATGAAAACATAAGCATACAGTTTTTTAGAGGCGTTCGGACGAACAAGAAGTTATCAGGTTTGCCTGGTAGGTTAGTAAAGAGTTTGATGTACTTGAATTTGTACACCACAAAATAATATAAAATCGTCTTTTTTCCTGTTGAGTGATGGAAATTATATGATTATGATTTTGATTTCTGGTGCAGCTACCACATGTTTATTTACAGCTAATTATTCCCATGACAATATGCAGACTGTTGCTGCTTTCTGACGAAGAGGTGGGGAATCGCTTCGTGGTTAAGGAGACTCTGGGAATCAGCTAGGACTATGGAGTAAATATTGAAAACATGAAGATGATCGATTTTTCTTTGTCTTTAGAGTGCTCTGTGATCACAATAGAGTTGGCTAGGCTTGCTGCAGAACGAAGGAAAAGAGGACGAAAGTAGAAGTACTTAACTTGCATTATTTCGCGATACCACTACCACAGTTAAGTAGACTACTAACTTCTGTATCCTTACCTGTTGGAGGCATGTTGATGATTACAATGCTTTGGTTGTAAGGAGCTAGAAGATGAGCATTGCTTTTGCTATGAATAATCGCAAGAATCATGGAAAAAATGTTATTAATAGTCATCAATCAAAACGTCGTTCGCGCGTTTTGCCTCACACTCTCACCCCCACCCTTTCTGGAACCTGTACGATGACATACTAGACATAATGATAATATGTTTTGATGAAGAGTCGCCGCATCCTTGAATGAATCTTGGGAACGAAAATCTTTAAGATATGAACAACGCCTAATCAAAACCCTTGCTCTCCCAAAAATAAGAATGTTTCAAATTTTTACCCGTCTCTGTGTCACCTGAAAAATATTTTGATGAAGACCGCGTCGAAGAGCACACGACTCAAGTGCAGCTCTCGCGGCCGATTATTCAGCTGCTGAAAAAGCGGACCGCCTTCGTCTGTTCACGCGCTTTTCGGCTTCATTTCATACGAAGCGGCAAGGTCATGATTGAGTGCTTAATAGTCAAGAGACCAGTGCAGCAAGCTAGTTAGGATTGCATACTACGATTATGTATGATTAAGTAGTTTATTAATTAGCATCTTTCACAATGTGTTATTCATTCATTTTTCAGCACGAGCGATCACCCACTGGAGCCTGTCCCTGTCAGTTCTTCATATCCTGTAGGGAGAGCAGAAGCGCTGTGCAGAGAACCCCAGGAATTTAAGCAGGCGAATGTTGCTCTAAGGCTTTCGAATGTGAATTTCATCATATTAACGTTCTATTTCTTAATCGTGTTCTTACTGTTTTTCAACTTGGCTGCTTAAGGTGGATTTCATGATTTTTGAACAAAAATATCAGAAGTGCGATCCAGGAAAATCATTTTTCTGCAAAGCAGAGGATCACTGATTCTTGAACCTAATCACGTGGATCACCAGACAAAAAATCGTTGGTGAAAATTGATAGGGAGCCTGGTTCCACTTCCAATATATTAGCTACTACAACGTACTAGACATAGATGTGAGAGTAATTTGATACGAGCGACTGCAGCACAAATCAGAATCAGCCGACATAGAGTGCTGTAGTAGATAGAAGAGACCTTGACAATGATGATGATGATGATGATGATCAACCTTAAAACGTAACCTGAACAGTGCACCTGGAAGGTGGATGTTGAGCAGTAGTTATATTGAATTGTTCGTCGCACGCGTCATAAGGGCTAGGTGTCATAGAAATTTTATATATTTATAAGCGTAGACCTGTGCGTGTCAACAACATGAAATAACATTAGATACTCGAATGCAGTTCATCGCGTGCTAGCTGCTCTACTAGGTCGCTTTTCTTCATCTTGTTGTTTCTTTCTGGCAAGCATCTCATCGTTAATCTGCTTGTATTTTTTAACCACAATGCATGAGAACGATGACTCTGAACGGCGGCGTCGTGCCGGATAGAAGCTTTTCCTAATAGGTGCACCTGGGCGAGCGACGCGGCATGGCCTGCAGCGAACCGCGCAGCTAGGCGATTACTCGAGGGTGTATCAAATAACAATACCACAGATACAGGAGCGCGCTGGAGTACTACATTTATTTCGTAGCTTGTATACTAGAGCGATTGACGAGATATCACACCTACGGCATCAACAAGAGCAACGTCGATCGTTAGAATAGGGTAGCCTGTCCGATCACCAAAGCGAAGGACCAGACAGTGACAAGCTCTCGTGAAGACAGGGAAGTAGGTCGCAAACCCCTGGCTTTCCTTTGCACGGATAGTAAGGATCACGGAAAGCAGGCGCTCGTCGGCTTTCACTATCGTGGTGCTGTAAGTATCGTCGTAACTTCGTGAGCAACGATCTATTCTAGCCTCGTGGAGATCGCGCACTCCGTGGGACGACGACGCAGAAGCTGAAGAACATCGAATCTTCTATTTCCGTCTGACCACATAGACTCTTGTCGAAGAGTCGTTAGGGTGACAGGACATCGGCATCCCTTTCAGCGGGACGTTGTTCGTTCGTCGACATAACCTCTGCTCGACTTCAGGAAGATGGATCTTCCAGCAGCAGCACCAACATCCACGCCACCAGCGCACAAGGCGTGGATAAAATACAAGAGGATAGCACAGACCTACCTGGACAAAACAGTCATATTTCCAGCGCAAAGATGGGTCTTCTTTGCGATATCGCTGCTGATGTACGAATTTTCTTTTTGTTGAGCAGTATTACGCAGTTGATACAATTGCTTTTGAGAGCGATTCATTGAGTCTTCTTCATCCTGAGCATTTTCTAGTTCATAATCAAATTCATATTCTTGTTCATCTGGATAGATACACCTAAATCAAAAGTAGGGGTGTACTCGCTTTTCTTGATGATTAATACCTAATATCACAATCCGAATCCGAATAATCCTTGTTCACGTTCACGACCACAGGTTATATGGTGAGGAAATTCATTTATGGGTTTTCAATTGTGTCGATTTCCTTCATTTACCTTCGTTTTTTGATTATTTGGCATCAATAACTCCACCGTGTAATAATTATTACACCCCGGAGTTCTGAGTGGTCGTTTTTCTAGTTCTTTGCTCCCAGAGAACTGCAGCAAAGGCAAAAATTATGGCAATTGGTAGATATGCGCCCTCAACTCCTAACGTGCGTCCGAACAGCATCCTTCTGGGATGACTTTTCACTCTGTTCACGCGAGGGCTGGGTAGTGTGAAATCGTTAGGTTTAAGAGGCCTAGCCTGGAGAAGCGGAAACACCAGCACCATGCTTGTGATGATAGGGATGAAAAGGCGGAGACAAGATGATGAGGCGGAACTTCTGAAACATCAGGGTCCTCGCAGTTGTATCTTAATCTTGAAGTAAAGGAAAAAGTGATACTTTTCAGCAAGAAACTCAGACTCCGGATCTTTCTCAGCCCGAGTGGAATTTGTCGTACGTGCCTTCCGTATGTATCAGCAAGAAGCGAAGCTATGGCCAGACGTGTTCACTTTTCTAGCAGCTGTGGTGGACGTCTTTGTTGGCATCGATTTCTGCCATGATCATGAATCAGCAAGATGGAAATCAACAAGATGATAGCAAGCTTTCCTTTCCTTATCTTGAGAACAGTTGCAGCTGTTTCTTTCTACCAGAATGCGTTCATATGATGTGGGCACTATTATCTTGTGACTTTTGTACTATAATCAAGAAGAGTGGGTGGAGAGAGAAGTAGAGGACGTCGTCGAGCGATTTCCAAGAATGTGACTCATTATCATACAGGACAAGCAGGCGCTCATCTTCTTCATCTTCCGGAGCTCAAACAAAGTAGACCAATGATACCAAGTTAATTCTACGTCATACCTGGAACGAGGAACAGCATTAAAGACGCATGTGCTTCATTCGTATCAAGCTGCTACTAGATAAAAGTTTTTTCGGTATGTTACTGCAACACTAGCAACACAAATAGAAGCTCCACTGACAACGATGACGCTGCTTCCACTACGCGCTCCGCTGTGCGTGTCCTTCCAGCTGAAAACGCTTTTTTTCGTCAATAATGGCCTCCTCCGCTAGCACGCAAGTTTTTAATCGTGTCGGGCTTACTTTCGTGCCGTTTTATTTGTGTCTCCAGTTGTAAGGTCTCAGTGCATTTTTCCGTGCGGTGCTGGATACCAGGAATGTTAAGATATAATCAAAATTGATGTTCCAGTTCTTAGAAATGCAGCAAATAAAGCAAATAGAAGCTGTTAATTATATTCACATCAGTCATCATCCACTTCCACGGTCTGCAAAAACAGAGAGCTTTTATTTTGATAAATGTGCGGCGCGTAGAACTTAGTATGATCATTAAAGTACTCATTATTTTCATGAACTTTTTGCTTTTCTCACTAATTTTCGGCATTCTAATTATTTTCTGGATTATTTTTTTTTTGAACTGGTTATGACTGAGTAATGACGTAATTTTATATGACTGAGTAAGAAAGTTGGCTGTCTGATGGTTTATTGAGTAGTCGCCCCTGTCATGGTGCATGCCCATTTTTAAGTAAAAGAAATAAGCTAAGGAAGCTTCAAGAATAAGGCGCAGCTTGTTCGATAGTAGGGCGTAGTATTGAAGGTAGCAGAAGAGTGCGGCCATCTTAGATACACAGAAGATCAGGGCACAAATGAGTAGCATATTAATGAAATAGCAGTCGCGCCAGTCTCCACTTTTTACTTCATGCACAAGTCAGCTATTTTGAATGATGGAAGCATCTAAATCCGAGTGGTCATTTAATTCAATATAGAAATAGGCTACCATCCAGAAGATTTATTTTCGGATGCAGTTCGATCCTTCGACTGAAAGTTGTATTCTAGCTGCGGCACTGACGTGCGAACTAAATCTTGCTTTATAGTTACTAGGTAAAATAAATTTGAGATAGTAGTCGCATGAGCATCATTTCTCAGCACCATCGAGGACTACAGCGGCCTCCATATGCTGGAGGTATAGTAGCAAGTAGATGTCACCGCCTGCGCCTGGTCCTTGACGTGGGAGACAACAAGAAGAAGGAGACGCAGAAACGTGTCGCGACTCATTGCCTTGCTTAGCGTGGTCAAGAGCAAAGGCGCACTATTCTCTGTATGCAAAGGCGCACTATTGGGGACGAGCAGCGTATGATAAAAGTCTTTGACGTTATGCCTACAGCAGCATGGTCACCAACAGCCACGCGCATGATCAAACTAGTATACCATTAGGATTGATTAGGCAACCTCTCACTGCAAGAGAAGTAGTGTGAGTGGGTGTAGTAGATGAAGCTCGTCGGATAGCCTAATTATAATATTTATATTGATGTTGACTTTAAGATCAAGTCTTGACCGAGGGACAATAACAACCTGCGTCAGACCTCTAACTTGTCGCGTGGTGCTTAGTCTTCAGAGGAGTTGACTGAACCTAACGAGTACACCACGGGCTACCGAACTACAGCGGAGACTAACTTTTTTACGGCAACTTCTACAGCGGAGAATCTCTTTTATGATCTTGATCATCAACGTCGTGGATAAAAATTCCGGTGATGCAGAGATCTACTTGTTTTAGATATTACAACAGGATAAAGAGAAGGAGAAAACTTTATTGATTTTGCTTTGCTTAGTAAGTGTAAGTAGAGGATTGCTTAATTGAATTCGTTATTGACCGAGATGCAAGATCATTAATTCTATCAAGAACAGAGCTAAAAAATAGAAGTAGAGTCTTCAGCTTCATCTAATCGGCCTTGCTTTCGCAGAACATCATCAAGGCGCACGCTGCAAGAATTTACATCTTCACGAACGAGTATTACAGGAAAGAAGCAATCGGGGCACAACAAGCGAGAAGATTGCGGCTACTCCTTCTAGAGCGCATGCGTCAGATTGATCTGATATCATCACATCGTCGTCGCGGTACGCAATTGTTTTGATTAGTTCTACCTGCTGCAGAAAAATGCCAGAAATGCACGGGGAAGCCTCTAGTTCTACGCAGGGACGCGGCCGGTTCTGCTCGAAGGACAACTTTACGCAAAACGGTGGGAGAGAAACAAACAGCGCGCTTGTCCCGTTTGAATCAAATATCATGACGACTTCCAAAGTCGCAACAGCTTTTTCTGCATCGCCACTCCTTCGAAGGCAAGGCGAAGTGGCAGGCGCAGACATGAAGCGCAGGCGCAGAGGCACGGCTAGACAGGACGAGCGACATTTTGCAGACGGAAACGTACATACTTGCTCCTACATTTCGTTTTCAGATATTCAAGCTGATCTGCGCTGATACGTGCAGATCTTCTTGGCTGGTGTTATTTAGTTGCATGAGAGTAAATATATGATTGATAGAAAAACTTGAACACTGAACCTTAAAACTAGCTTCGTTGTGGTCGATTATTCTGCATGTCGGTACTTGACCAAGTTGTATAAATAATCAGAGTAAACCACAGTCGTCATAGTAATCGTTTTACCAGTCAGATTATATATTATTTCAAATTCAAAACATATTTTTTTGTCGCTTGTGGATCAATCTCAGATGGCATCTACTTAGAGAAGAGCACCTCGCTGCATTGGTTTTGCAGAGGTGGCCTTCCTCGTGAGTATCATAAAGCAAAATCAACACACGGATGATCTTCGATGAAGCAGGCGGGTGTGCCTCTCACTTTCGTAGATGGTGCGTTCAATTACAATTTCTTCAAGAAGGTCAGCGCTTTTTTTTCTACTTCATAAAAATTGCCTTGTAGTTACTTATAATATATGAAATATTGAAGAAAAACACCTCAACAACAACGACGGCGAATAATTTTTAGGTACATCTGCAACGGCCTGGTGCAGCGTCGTCTTCGAGATCGCAAAAGGCTGCAGTCGCTGGCTTATCCTCTGCGCTGAAAAATAAATCTGGAAAGATGGTTGCTAAGTCTTCTGTTTCATCGTCAGTCAATCCGCTACTGAACCTGTTGTCCAGTAGACGAGCTCCTAGGAACATGAACCAGAATAGTGGCCCATTCAGAAGCAAGACTTCTGCCAGAACTGCGAGAAGTCGGTCTCGTGCAAGAAGGGAGAGGGAGCGTCGCGATCTTGACAAGCTTCGAAAAACGCAAGGGCTTCCACCTCTGCATGTTGCTGAAATGCTAGCAAATTGGGGGAAGCCGTGCAAAAGCAGTGATCCATACAGAGGCACGAGCCCTCCGATCTGGATTACAACAAAAATCCCCGTTTCGCCTGTGCGCAGTCGTAGCACGTCGCGATCTTCGTTTATTATTTCGCCATTATCAAGATCAAACAGTCGGACATCTTCTAGTACGCCCTGTAGCTCTAGCAGTCGGCTTCTGCGACATATTAATCAGTCAAGCGACGTTGTGGTGGATGACGCACAACCTCCAGAGACAAGTCGTATTGAAACAGACGATTCGCAGCAAGAAGAATTACGGCAGCCAGTACTTGGTAGAGTAGAAGAAGTGACAACTGGCGCAACAGGTTACCGTAGTCCTTATCAAACGTCGATCAGGGTTGCCGCCGAGGCATCCTGTTCCAGCGATGCGTGCGGCGCAGAAGAGGAAAAAGAACAAGCGTCGGAGTCACCTTATCTAGAACTCGAATCGCCAAGAATGCTTGGAGGCGCAGAACCTAATGCTCCTGTTGCCGGACCAATTGTACTCAGCCAAGGCGGGCAAGGCCAACTTCATGATCGCGGCTGTCATGTTCGTTCCCGTTTTGAAAGTCTAGAAGTTTTCATGAATACTCCTGAGGCAGCAGCAACTTGCTCGCCCCATCTTCGAGCAGGCTTTTTTCGTGCGGTGCCAGCGTTGCAGCCTGGTCAAAAAGATGACGCACTTTCTAAGATCCAGCATGACCGTTACCATGGAGCAAAAGAGCATGGTTCGCCATCTCTACAACTAAGCTCGGCAGTGCTCTCGGCGCAGCAAAGTGAAGAAAGACGCCTCGGCTACTGCACTGTCGTGAAAAGCAAGCATACTTCTAATCAAGTTGCTGCTTCGATCGTGGATCATGCAGACGCGAAGCTTTTATTGCAGTTTGATTCATTATCTTGCATTCGAGGCGAGTATCCATGTTCCTCCGAAACGAAGTTGCGCGTTGCTGCTACCGACGACTTGGCTGAAGATTCTCAACAAATGCGTTCAGAAGATGATAAAAAGGGGAGAAACAGCAATGAATGCTGTACAGCTGCAGACGTGAAAAAGAGTGCCGACTGTGGTGGAATAGCATCGAGGATCCTTGGTCGAATCTTAGCAAAGGACGAGAGTGGCTATGGTCATGGAGGCAATAAAGCATCTTGTTCATTGATACCTGGGCGCCTCGACTGTGCGTTGCTGGCGAACAACATGAACAAGAACAGCAACAAATTGCAAAAATGCGGCCAGGTGAAGGACTTTTGCACTCCGTGGCGCTCCAGCAGAAGAGCCATGATTCATGGAAAGCAATACTGGCAGCGTTCAACAATGAATAATATCGTCGAGACCCGTAAAACAAACCGGCTTCGACATGGACACGAAGATGTGAAAGAAGTGTCTTCTTCTTCGTCTTCTTCTGCAGCAAGTACATCCTTTGAGCAAAATATAGTTGGAAGAAAAGTGGGAGAAGCTACCTTCTTCAGGTCCTCTCGAAGCTGTGCAAGAACTATGGATATAGCAGATCAGCCCCGCAGAGTGCTATCGCTTTCTGGAGCTAGAGACGAAACTGAGTCAAAAGCAATGGTAGTTTATCCGTCGTCTTCACGTCAACAAAGCTCGACGCCACGTTTATTCGAGACGCAAACTGCAGAAACCAGCAGCCATATCAGCTTGCACTTGCAGAAAGCCGCGACGTCTGACGTGATAATCCGGCGTCAGGAGAAAGAGGCAATGGGAAATAGAAACGCAGCTGGTGGAAAATCCACCTCCCAGGAGTATTCGAGATTAGATAGGGAGGCTGGCGGAAGTGGTGAAAGTTCCTGCTCCAAAGGTTATCCGCAGCTTTTTTTCCGAGAGGGGCAATCCCCAGAAGTTCGCGAGGGTTCTGATGGACGAACGACCGCTATTAAGGCAGTACTGAACTATTTAGCATCCTTGGCTGGCTATAGGAAGGACGAATGTGTGCTACAAGTGCAAATCAATGCTATGCTGTTACATTGTGGTAGGGCGATGCCTCTACTTCCCAAAAAGTGCAAATAGAATGGGCAAGCTCATCCAGGATCCAAAAGCTTAGTCTGGCTTTTGCTTTCCTGTCAAGACCACTAGTTTGGTACTTACCCCCTTATTTCTGGTATTTTATAGCAGAGCTATATAGATTTCGACTCATCTGCTGATCATTGGCTAGGTTCTATATCTGTGATCTGCAGCTCTAACAAAAACAAAGCAAGTGGCCGGAAGCAGATTGAAGATCCAGAGTGCGCAGAGAGCAACGCAAGTGGCGTGAAAGAAGTCAAGCATCTTGTGCGAGGTCATCAAGAAGCGCACCTTTGTGACACGAGCAGCCAAGAACACGCAGAAGCAGACAGCCCGGGCGGGCATTTGCAACGAGCTTCACACGCGACCCCCTCATCTGTGTCGACCGGGGCCCGCAATGGACAAGATGGAAACTGTTCTGCCGGATGCCGCGGCACGGGCAAGAGTGCTAACGCGCGTGGGCACGGTAAAATACTACTTGACTAGTTGAGCTGTAGACTTGTTGCGACAATTCGCCGAGGCCGAGCTGCCGCCTCGATAGGTTTGCTGGCTACCGTGACGCCCCTCGCTGCGGCTGGCCTTGGCGGGCCTGTGACGTCTCGCGCCCGCGTTGCTTGGCGGGGTCGCAACACGGTCCCCGCCAGCCACGCCGAAGCTGAGCCGGCCGGTACGCGAACGCAACGAAGCGCCGGCGCCAGATCGTTCGCGCTGGTGAGCGAGCTACCGCCCCCAAGCAGATCCTTCCACTCGCGCACGTGCTGAACGCGTCCGCCCCCCCGTGTTAGCTCAAGAAGGCGAGGGCAGGCCTCGACGGTGTGGAGCTTCTACTCCTCAAGGAGGAAAGCCCGCGCGGGTGCAGTGGTTGCGAGGAGTAGCCGAGGGATTGCACGCCGGACACCTTTCGCGCCATCTTTCTCGGCAGGAGTGACGGCGGCCCCGCGTGGTATTTATTAGGCGACGGCTTCGAGCTGCAGAAGGTGCGGACTGCCTTGATGAGGCGCCTATCGTGCAAAACCTCAGGCGCGCCGCCTTGGTGCGTTCTATATTTTCAAAAGCGGAGAAAATGAGCGACGAAGTGTCCGCAGGAAGGACGCCGAAAGCCTTGCGGCGTTGGGCTCGAAGCGGTGCCCTGGTGCGGGGTCGGTTAGGGCCAGCCCTAGCCTACGAGGAGCAAGCCGCCGAACGAGGTAGCAGGACGGGACGGCCCAATCTGAGGCCCATACTTATCGCGCGTCAGCTGCGCCGGCTTTGTTTGCCTGGGTATGCGGTCGGAAACAAAGGAAAGGGGACCCAGGTGACCGGCCTGGGCTTCGGCTCGATGGCAGCGCGTCAGTAAGTGGCAGCTGTGACGTTGTCAGCAATCAAGCTGCGGGCAGTGTGCTGCTCGCTGTCATTCGGGCGCTGCGCTGTCCTCGGATATTCTATCTTAGCCGCCTGCGTGCTGCGTCTACTTGCTTCGCGCTCTCGCTTGGAATTTTCTAACTGCATGCCGGGCAGGTTGGTTGTGCAAGTGTTGCGCCACCTCTTAGGGATAGGGAAGGACGCCGCCCCGGCCAACAAAGACGCAGCGCCGGGCCGTGCTCCGGCGTTCTGACTGTGGACAACGAAGGCAGGCGGCGGGGGCGATGCTATTTCGTGGCTGCTTTCTGTCGGGCTGACTAAGCTTGCGGGGATGCGCCCGCCGCCAGAAGGGGACGCGGGTGGACGAGGCCCCGCGCCCGACCGAGTCGCGCGCCGGCTGGTTGTCTTGGATGGTGTGGGGGTCTGTCTTCGCTCGTCTGCGCATCTGAAGGGCGGGGCGCTCGTTATGTTTGTTGTGTGTTGTAATTTGCTGGGCTGTCTTGTTGTGGTCTTCTTGTCCTTTGCTTCTTTGGAGTCATCGACAAGATTTGCGCGTTGTTGTATTGTTTCTCTCCCGCTGGCGTCTCTCGTGTGTGTGTGCTTGAATCGTAGCGCCATGCAGGCCAAATGGACCAAAAGAAGGCGGTGAAGCGCTCCGCGGAGGCGGGACAGGAAGGAAGCAGAGGCTTGGCAATGTGAGGCCGCGTCGCTAGGCGGGGCGAGGCGCGCAGGGGTATGACCACGCGCCAGGGGTGACGCGGTGGGTTTCTTTGGGGCAGCTTCGTCTGTGGTTGTCTTCGTGCTTCCGTCGCCTTTGTGACTCTGCTGTCCTCTTCTTGCATTGGCTTCGCCTTGTTTATCTTTTCTGTGTCTGGGAGGCGGAGGCCTATTTCGTTCGGCCTCGTTCTGGCTGGCAGCGTACTCCCCTGGCAAACGGGGTCCGTGGTACTATGTTGTCGTTCCTCATTGATGTCTCCCGAAGAGTAGTTCGGCAAGTGTCGGCGGGATCTTGTCGTTGCTCAATCGAAGTGTTTCTTGTTGTCAAGACTTTACAAAATCATTAGGAATTATATGCTAAGGATGCTCTGACTATCATTGCTGGGCATCTTTTCCCGGCGTCTGGAGTCCTTTTTATAGCACCTAACATCGAAAACAGGACGAGGCTGCAACTGGGCTTCTTCCGGTTATTCTGCTGGCAATGTGGTGAAGTGGGCTTCTGCGGAAGATAGACAAGCTGGTGATTGGTCTGGGTCAGATCGTCCACTTCGTCTTGGAAACGGGTCGTGGTGCAACATCAACGATTCGGAACACCAGCCAGAATGCGGCGATCGAGTACCGCATCAAGAGACGCAGTCCAACTCCAAGAGCGACGATTTGGCACACGAGAAAATCGCGACAGAGTGGTGCGCCTCTGATAACCGCGTCGCTGAGCCTCTCGCACTTTGCGATAGTGCAAAAACGCGACTGAGTCTTTTTGCAAGAGACACAGCAAAATCCCGTCACCTTTTGTCGCATGAAGGCCATCCTTCTTCTTTTTCCGAACAGATAAGGCGCGTCTTTCCGCTGTGTACGAAAACAAAAGGAAGCGTCTCGCATTGCACAACCTCGAAGCCGTGTCTGATCCAGGACCCGACGCAAGTGTGTAGTTATGTGGATTATAGTGATTTACTACCAGAAAAAATTTACTTCGATGGTAAGGGGAAGGAATTATAGTGAAGCGCATATCTGTAGTTGTTCATGTTCTAGAAAGTCTAGCTGCTGCACTGCTCCGCAATTATCCAGTATCTCCATCCATATAACCAAGACCATCCAGGGAAGATTTTTAACGCTTGGTCTGAAGTGGTAGCCGCATTCTTGTGTCGAAGATCATAGGGCTACTACGATTTCGTCTTGTTTGTTAGTACTAGCATAAAGTAAAATAGCGGGGAGTCATTGGAGCTTCCGAAATCACAAACGAACGGGTAGCCTTCATCTTTTTCTTCCAAGTGATTTTTTTTTCACCTTTGTGTCTGTTTCGTTGAGGGTTGCCTCTGCCTATCATTGATGTCTCGGAAGGGTGAAGAAGTAGAGTGAGTACTTTTTTTACTGGAAGAGCTGGCTTTTTCTTGGAAGTGTGCTTGCGGTTCAGTGACAGCTAAAATAAACTTTTGCACAGAGGCCAGCGTCAACGTGACGATAGATAAATCGGATGGGTATATCGGAGGACATACACATACTTCTGCAATGTAGATAGTTCAGTTGATGCGTATGTCGCATACCTACAAGTATCATGCTTCATTTTTCTAGAGTAGGCGTAGGGGAGAGCACTTTCACGTAACAAAACGCGCTTCTTCTTGTCCTTGGTAGCAACAACAAAAGGTCTGCATGATATTGAATTATAGGCCGTTCATGTGAGCTCATCGCTACCGGTAGTGGAAGAGAAGACGCCGGCGCGGAAGCCAGGACAAGGAGGTGTTGCGCCTGCTTCTATAACAACAACTGCAAGTCGACAGAGGCTCCGTTTAGTCTCTTCCTCATCAGGAACTACATTGGCTGACACGATGGCAAAACGCAAGATGGTTATGAAGAAGATGATGAAGCGTGCACATGCAAAGGCGCAGCATGCTTCTGAGAAATCACTCAGGAGAAAAAAGACGAGTAAAAATCATCTTGATCTTGATGCATTCTTCGAAGATGAGCTGGATTTGCTTTCGGGGCACGACTTGCTTTTTTCGGATACGGAGTTCAGCAGCTGGCTTGTACAGGCCAAGGAGAACTTGTTGTCGCCTGTGGACGAGACACAGTCTAAAGATAGACCGACACTGAACTTGAAAGAGTCGACTCCGGAATGCGTTAATTCCCATAAGAATAAGATGGGGTCTTCAAGTAGTGGTAGCGGCAAGATGAAGCTGGCAGCAGCTTCCTTTCCCGCAGGACTTGGGGAGGAGAAAGATACGCACAAGAAGCATTTTGCAGTTGGTGGAGTTGAAGAGGGGACTATCAGTGCACATGAGAAGGAGTTTGTTGAAGATATCGACATGGTTCCGGCATCACAGAGCACTCCGTCGCGGTTTGCCAATAGGACGCCGCACGTTTTCACCTCTCATGGCGTTGATAATCCGAGTAAGGCGAAGCCGCATTCAGGAAGTGGCACGCCACAAAACAGAAGAGGTTCTTCCTTATTCAAACGATCAGAAGTAGCTGATGGCCGTAATGGCGGCAGAGTTGTGCAGGATAATAATCAGCGTCTACTTGTGGATCTCAGTCTTCATCCAACATCATCTACGTTTACAAATACTAGGAGCAAGAGCGCAGCACTTTTCACTGCAGAAGCCCTCGCTGGTGCTGAAGGTTGCTTTGATGTCCATCAAGCAGCAGACGCATTCCAGTGTGATCCACACATTACGCCTGCGCGCGATGGTGGTGCTGCGTCGTCGGTGAATGCTTTCAAGAAGCCTTTCCCTGTGGTTGTACAAGGAGCTTCCAAAGTTGCAGCTCCAAATCAATCAGGCTTGTCACAGGCGGAGGAGAATAAGACTACAAATAGTAGCCATCAGCAGAAGCAGCCGCACTTCGGGCAAGAGCATACTAGGGACGCAATGCATGCAACTAAAAAAGGAATGCCTTCGAAAGCTGCGCCCCCTGGTGATCGTGTATTGAATAAAAGTGACTGCAGGAAAAAGGAGCACACGATAGTCCCCAGCAGTTGTCTTGCCCTCGGCTTTGACGATAATGCTCTGGTACCTGGCGTTCAAGAAACTACTTCGTGTTGTACTACTTTGTCTCACCTGCAGAAGCAGACGTTCGCTGATCCGGTCCGAATAGAAGACACTAGTAAGTGTTATTCATCCTTATCGAAAAAAAATAGCAAGAGGCAACTTCAGACAGTACAAGGCGCCAAGAATGTGACAACTACAAGCAAGAATACCGGTGAGCAGTCCACAACTATAAAAACATCTAGTAGCAGCGTTTTGTCTGCGGCTGGATCAGCACACAATAGCACTGCGAGTCCAAGTAAAGACGAAGCATCCACCATACAACTCTGTGGAGCAAAAAGCGGGCCGCAAGCGGAATCTACAAGCAGTGGGAACAGACAGAATCACGATGGAAAGAAAGGGCTTGCTGTTGCTGGCACGTCCACAACTGCTATTAGTCATTGCAGCCATCCTGTTCAACAAGGCAAACTTAAGCAAGAGCCTGCCGCAGCACCATCTGGCACGAACGACAAAGGTAACTGCAAGGCGCAAGCGAAGCAAGCGCTGCCTCAGGCAAGAAAAAAGGAAAGAAATCAGTCTCCTGTAATAGTACAAAATGATAATGCTGCGAAGATAATGGTAAACAACAGTGAGACAGAGATCCTTGCTCCTGGAGCAGGTCCTACAGCTCTGTCCTCGTACCGGCAGGATTCCAAGCACGTTCGAGGGCAGCAGCTGTCAAAAGTAGAAACTGTTTTAGGAGTAAAGAGCAACAATTTTCGCGCAGATAAAGACCAACAACTCCAGATCAAGAGCAGAGGAAAGACATCATCTTCAAGCTTCGAGGCGCCGGATCAGGAAGATGACCTCTTGGCTGTTGAGGAAGAGGCCAGCTGGTATGTAAGTATTTAGTTGTTTTGCTTAGGGGATAGTTTTTGCGTCGCGGCGCCTTGATCTTGATACTGTATTACTAACACTAGTATCTTCATACTTTTCATGGGATTCGGATCATCTTGCTGCATAAGCAAGATATATTAGCATTTTGTAATCGTGACGCGCGTCCTTATGATATATAAAAATGCATGATGCAAATGGTGCCTGGAAATTCAAGAACAAGCTGTATTAGTATGTCGTATCTATTTTGTATATGAGCTGCTTGATGGTTCTAGAGTTGCTTCGGAGTCTTACGCACAGCTATTTCGTCAGGTTTTATCCAAGTGATCGGCAAGCAGCCAAGAAAGGAAAAGCGATGAAAAAAGAAACGAAGAAGAAGCCTGCTTCTATTTCGTCAAGGAAGCCAAAATCTGCAGGAGCATCTTCTTCGAAAGCGGGCGGCAAGCTTATAATCAAGGGCAACGTTAAAAAAGCGAGGGAGCAGACCAACATCAACTCGACAGCTCTGTCTTCTTCTAGTAAGAAAAACCTCAAAAAAGCAGTAGGTGAACCGAGCCTAGAGGACACAGCCAAGGACTCCGTGGGCGAGTACTATCAATTGTTCGAAGATTCTGTGCAACACCCTTCCTCCCAATCTAGTTCCAACTTGAAAGAACAAGAAGAAGAAGAAGATGAAAACGTTCTGATCTTTCTGAGGCGCAAGAAGGTCGCTGAAAAAGCCAAGAACTACTTGTCGGCATCGACGCAGGACTTTCTTGATAATTTTAGTGCCGCTGCGCTCAAGAAGTTTCCAAATTTCTTGGAATGCGGCCCGTGCGATATTATCTCGACGGTCGCGAAGGAAGAGAGATTGCTGCACGCTGTGCAAGATGATAAAATTATGGCTGCTACTAAACCATCTGCTATAGTTAAAAGGAAAGTCTTCGAGCTCCGCTACAATCACAAAGTGAAAGTAGCTCGAAGGCGAGCGCTGAAATAGATTTCGGCGCCGCGTCTAATAGAAAGGTGCTTCAGCGCGCAGGCCTATGGGAGCTGGTTACGACTGAGCAGCCAAACTTGGACTTTTATGCAGATTTCAAAATGAAGCTTGAGGCTTTGGAAAAAAGGCTGGCAACGCTGAGTTACGGCAGGCTGATCTGTTTTTGATGATGACTTAGTCCTAGGCTGGGGCTCTGATGTGCGACAGAACGTTGAGACCCTGTGACTCTCGTAACATTAGTTTTTCGCTTTTTGTATTATTAAATACCGTGCTGATTTTTTTTGTAGATATATTTATTTTCTGCGTTATAGAATGAGAGTAGAACCAGGAGTAGCTGTGTCGTCTGAGGCAGTGCCAGCCCTGATGTATAACGCAGCGCTTCTGCTCGAAAAGCTATATCCGAAGTAGTTTGGACTTGAGTATATGCGACTTGGGTTTAGACAAGCTTCTTTTAGGGTGTCCCTGTGGAGTCGGGATACTCAAATTACACTTCGGGAAGTGCAAGGGATGAAGTCTACTACTTTCTTCAGTATAGGCACAATCGTCATAGTATTTGCAGCTTGCGCTAACAGAAGACAGCGAAAAGCAGAGCCAAGACAAAATTGGAAAAGGAAGCAGAGAAGTTTACTTGCAAGCGCAAAGGCAAGTGGTGAATTTTTTGGCACATCAGAGTTACGATGGTGATTTTGGGGTAGGCGATAGAAGAATGTGGCAGTCTTTTGCTCTACTAGAAAGCTGGGGTCAGAAGATGATGTAACTTTTGCTCGAGGTCAGTCAGATCAGGTAGTTTATTTGCAGATGGCATCGCGTCGCGCATAGTTGACTTAATAGCTCAAATAATTCGTATCAGTAGTTTCACGCTGATTCTTGAAAGGATGATGAAGTAGCGTCCGAAAGAGGCATCCAACTCAGGACAGGGCGGCAGAAGATCTTGCAACTATTGAAAAGGGAAAGGGAGAGGGGGAGCGCCGCATTTAATATCTTTAGCCAGACACATATAAACAGGAGTTAGCCTCTTTTTTATAAACTCAACTATCTTTCCTTCGAGAACCACAATTCGACGAAGCTTTGTCTCTTTGTTACTACTTACCACTTTCCTGTAGTGAGATAGAGTCAATAATCGCTAAAGCTAGTCCTAATTAGCGGATGCTTGTCATCTTGTTTTCGGTAGCTTTGGTCCAGCAAGTATTATAGTGCTGAAGTGCAGTTTTCAGCAACAACTTTGCGTTGAACAGTGGGAGAGTACATTTGCAGATATGACTACTAAAGAGACGCCTCCAGCAGGATATCCATGCCGACCTAGGTACGACGGGGAAGAGTGACGCACTTCGTTATTGTTATGTATTACTAATGCTAGCAGTTTTATCTGCGTGCCTCCGTGCGGACTACTTGATGCAGCCAGGTGTATGGCGGTGATCCATTCCCAGCAAGTCAGCATAGGGAATTTAACTCATCAGTTCTCCGATGTCGCAGACGCAGTTTGCCGCCATCTCGAGTAATAGTATATCTTGCCATATGGTGGTCGTGGTCTCTAAATTAAGAATTGATCAGACCACTTTTTTGTTTTGTTTGGAGCAATTGCAAGTCAGGCTTTGACTAAACCGCGTATGTTGAACGATGTAGATATCGAGAAAAAAGGCCTTCAGAACATGGCGCTCCTATCCAAGACGCTAGAGAGTATGAAGGCTTGTGGTTCAGGGATAAGAGGGAAGGACTAATATGCGTCGAGTTCGTAGACGTCTGCTGTATCTGCTTGGGGCGGAATTGAGAGTGATCGCGCGTACTATGCTATCACTCTCTGGGTTGCGTGGAGGTAGCGTGTGATATCTAGATAGAAGTTGAAAATCAAGGCATATTAGAGGCCAAGCTCGTCGGAGTCAGTTGTCTTAGATAATTCACGCGTATGCGTGTGGTGGGCGGTGTCCTACAACACGAAGAGCAGCAGTGGCATCATTTGTGATCATAAGCAAGACTAGAGTTCCCTTCGAATATGAGTAGTAAATATTATAAAGTATACCTGCAGCTTCGTTTCGCCTGATAATAGTCAAAATATTAATAAACTTCATCACGGAAACTAGAATACAACTACGAGTGCATAGAGATAAAAACGCTGACTATCCTGCGACGCACAATTGAAGACATGATCTCTGACATATCAACTTTTCTCATTCTGCTATCAGCAACTCTCGGGCAGTTTGACATTGGAGCCCTATCATAACTAGCTAACTTCTGTTATCAGCGAAACACACCATGACCATGCAACTGACTTAATGTACAAGTACATGCTAGACTCTGGGCAATTATTCTCTCCCAGTATTTTGCTAAATCAACCCTTCCTCTAGTACGATTCTCATAAGTCTGATAGTATTGATTTCCACCTACGTGAGCCACCAGCATGAAGATTTATATGACAGTACATAAATAGGATCTCTCTCAAAGTTGTTATACAAAAGAATGAATGGCGTTAATGTATTTTATCGCATATACTGACTTCCCCCCATGGATTAAGACGCAGGAGAATTGCCCCCACTGTAGAGGCCCCGACGACAAGACTGCATAGACGCACTGGAAAGCGATAGTGCACAGGTTTCAGCATTGACATGGTCTACGTCTATTTGTGCTTACAACGATCGACTTTGGAAAAATCTCGGACTACTTCTACCAGGGATTTGCCTCGAAGGCTACCGAGTACGAAAGTTGAATTGCTCAGCCGCTTACTCGAAGGTGTGCCTTTGCTGGCAATTTCGGTCATGGTGGGCGATGTTTTTCATTCAAGTGAACGTGATTGCGTAGCTTATCTGCAGTTGCTTGTCGATACAGGACACTGCGAATGTTGAATCGTAATGGACAGATCGACTTTTCTTTGTGACGAGTGAGGGGGAAGTACGGTCTCTTGTTCTGGAAGGACATTCAGCAGGCCAGTCAATATATCGGTCCCTTTTTTTTGATTGAGAAATGCGTGATGCTGAATAACCAATGACAGGGCGACTTAGAGACTTGAGAAGGTTCTCAGTGATGCTGCGGATGTTAAATCTTCAATGGTTGTATTAAGGAGCAGTTCGGTTTTTTTTTTGTGACAACGCCAAGTGTAAGTGATGAACTCGGTCTTTCTTTATGCAAGGACAACTTGTCGGTCTTGTTTGATTAATTGAAGAATACTCGATAATGAATACCCAAGAAAAGCACGACTTGGAAAAGATTTAGTCTGATTAGCAAGCTTGATGTTTATAATTATCTTTCGCTCATGGAGGATGTTTGTTTCTTTGAACCTAACGCTTCTTCACGTTCGCACTCAATCTCAACGGTGTTGTGGCACTTTTAGGAAACTTCGAAAATAACAGCTAGCTGCTGCTTTGTTTGCATTGTTGTAACAGATACAAAATCTATTGAAGGTCTATATCTACTCTAAATTTTCTAAATCATTCTTGATTCGTTGACTAATCGGAATCTCGCTCCTCTTACTCCTGAAGACATATTATATCCTGCTAGAATATAGATTACTGAAATTATTATAGATAAACGCTCATCAACCCCGGTCTCGCGAAGATGCCGTCGGCGCAGTCGAAACTTCAAGTCCAGCGAATTTAAGGAGTAAAATTGTCCAGACTTGGGCAACAGCACGTCACAAATTGCTTCTGTATTGCGACTTATTGGGAAAAAAGTCAGAATTTCAATAGGCGGATTAGTGACGTGCCATTGTCCATTTCTGGACAATTTTACGTCTTTCATCTTCCTCATCGCCGCCACGATGTAAGAATGAGTTATGAAGAGATTGATAGAGTGAATCAATGCGTGAGCGAGTGAGTGAGTTTGAATGTCGGCAGAGAAGTGCTTGACTCTGAGTGAGCAAGGAATGAATGACAATGAAATGACTACTATCCCATCATCTTCAGCATCTTCATCTAAATATATCTCGAAGCAGAGATTCGAATCTTGCTGCAGATGCTCGACGTCGTCAACGACCGAAGCAGCGCATCCTCGAAGGAAACGATCTTTCACTTGCTCGACCTCAAGGAGCGCCATACCATCTGGCTCAAATTGGCGCTGGGTGAAACGACTCAGGTAATTTGCTTTCTATGTTAATATAGCTATTATAATTTTGGTATGATTTCTTTGACTTGGTCATCAGTCTAGAGTTTCCGGTACAACGTCAAAAAGGGATATGTAGATATAGAATAAGAGTACTTAAGCTAAAAGTATCGAAGCAACAGATTCTCTTGGTTAATTTAGAACAGGTGCAGAGGACGTCGTTTGAGAGGAGCTGGCTATTGTAGGCTTCGGCTGTCACAGAAATGTTTAGATTAGTTCTGTATTTGACGCTGTGCCGGGTATCGTGAGGCCCTTTTTGTCGAATTTTATTTCCTCAAACTCTACAGTCCGAGTGGAATTTGATGGGTCAGCGCATGCGCCTACAACCAGTGACGACGTCGAATTTGCCGGGTCAAAATGTTTTTCGTCCTGTTAACCCGCCTGCGAACAACGCGATCAACAACACTAACAACAACAACCGTCCGCAAATTGCAAACGTGCAACCACGCTCGCAACCGCAAGGAGATCAGCCAGCTGTATTTTGATTTTGGAGATTTTCTTATTTTTTTTATGTAATAATCTGTTCATCTTGAGGCTCGAGTGAATGAATGAAATGAGGCATGGTTCCAAAGAGCATGGCGTTTGTGATGCAACTTGAAGACAAACTCCAAGAAAACTGTTCTTGTTATAATTTGCATTTCTCAACTTTCCATCAGGGCCAGGCTGTGAATATTGCTGCGGGTGAGGATGGCGCTTCTTCCTTGAACCCTTTTTCTTACGCGAATGCGAGCTCCCTGGCCTTACCGATGCCCATTACTTTCTTCAACTACGTGGTACTGTTATTCTTCTATTACTTCTATTTTTTAGGATTTTTAGATTTTTTATGATTGCAATGTTTTGATTGGAAGCATCAAAATTAAAACCCATGTTCTTATACTGCTCTTCGATCATTGTATCCACAGTCTTCACTTTTCATACACCAACAGGAGGGATCGACCACCAACTTCGGCGTTGGCAAGCGCGCTAACATGGATGACGTCATGGAGGAGGTACTAAGGGTCCAAATCGAAAATATCTCAAGATTCTAAATTTGTTTTTTACTGAGTAACTTTTAGATCATATTAACGCATATTCTTGGTGGATGTCTTGTAAGGACTCAAGAAATACACCAATTACCTAGTTGAGCTTGGTACTTTTAGGCTTTGTGTATTTCTAATATTTTACTAGAATCGGTGAATTCCTTTCCTAGAATCAGAGCAATCTGTTCCTAGAATCGGACAATTCCGTTCCTAGAATCGGACAATTCCGTTCCTAGAATCTGGAAGTTTTGCTCCTAGCAGACAAATCTTAGTGATTTGGTTGGGAGCGTATGGGGGGCACAAATCCTATAGATGTCGTCCTCCACGCGGGCGCCCCCTGGAATTCGTGGCGCAAGCCCGAAACCAACGGATCTGAGTATCCGATTTCTATAGGTCTCGCAGTGTTTTGCTGTCGATAACGAGCGTCTTTATGACCTCCGAGTCCAGCCCTGCGTGAACGTGAAGCTGAAGTTGACTGAGAGAAGCGGAGTGCTTTGCTGTTGATAACGAGTGCCTTTATGGCCTCCGAGTCCAGCCCTCCTGCAAGAAGTGACGACAATACTACTAGGTATATACTTCGAAAGTGGAAGCAGTTAAGTGCCTGAGTCGCTCCTTGCAGAATGCAGGCTCAGATGGAGAGCAAGAACTTCTGCAGCAGAAGCAGAAGCAGCTGCAGCAGCACCAGTAGCCACATCGAAACGAGGTAGATGCAGATCGAATGCTAATAGAGACCAGCCTCGCTCCGTCTTCGTGTTTAGATCTCGGCCTTAGCTTCGTTATGGTATCGAGGGGCGTGCAGATTCTCGCGCTTGTCGTTATCGTTCGTTAGAACCTCTTCCCATTTATTTTCGTTTTTGGTAGCTCAGTGGCAGTGCGCGAATTGCATATGCATCCCCTTGCTATCTTTTGCATTTTCGTCGAGAATCGTAATGGTAATCGTAATCGTATCGACTACGACACCGCGGCCGCCTTCGGTGTCCCTCGCTTGTTGTTGTCGCGTCGCGTCGCGTCTAGTCGAGGTCGAGCAGTATAGTACAGTTACGGTGTGTATAATGAACCACGTACGTCGATGCGGATGCTTCTATGAGCATTATCTGTGGCTAATTCGAACGCTATTAGAGTGTAGGCCTAGCATAGACATAGAGAACGCAACCACAATCCTACCAAGTTCTTGACTAGCGCTTTTTTTTGGCAGAGAATTGGAGGTGATATACGTGTCACACCGCAGAATTGCTACCATACATGTACGCGAGCCTTTGCTGCTCTGAGTCTCTCTGGCTCTGGCTTCTGGGCATGCTTCTGCAGCTCTTGCGCTTGCTTTAGCATCATCAGCATCAACATCGACACCGACACGCACCGAAACCGACACCATGGACGCGGTCCAGTTTCGGAGCTTGCTGTGTCGCGAAATTGAAAGGGCGGAGGACGTGGCCGAGGTGTTGGAACAAGCTCGGGGGATGTACTCTCAGCATCTGAGACTGAAAGCCGAGCGAAATGGCAGAGGAGGCTGCGCGGTATTTCTTGCTTTTTGTTCAGAAGCTTATATCTATAAGAATAATTATAGGTGTTGAGTTAGAATTTCAAACAATAACAACTATGCCATCAGCGTCTTTGCGTGAGCATAGCGCTGGTAGATCATTAGCCCGCTTTCTATTTGTGTTTCTATTTCAGTTTCTATTTCGTTCCGGTCATTACTTTGCTACCTGGCTTGCTAGTCTCTGCACTATCTTCCGTTCCGTACTTAGTTCCGTTTTGTTCTCTATTTCGTTCCAGCCTCCATTTGATTTCGTTCCATGATTTGTCTCCCGTGGTTCTCTAACTCGTATGGTCTTGCCTCTATTTCGTACCAGTCTCTGCTTCGTTCTACTTATATTCTCTATTTCGTCCCACTCTATATTTTGCACTTGTTCCACTACAGTAATTGCATACTCCACAAAATCAAAAGCAAAACTCTAGGTCACTCCAGCAACGAGCACGATTTACAACAAACGAGGACGCACACCAGAGTGGCGAGGCAAATCGTGGAAGGACATCGCAGAAATCTACCTTCGTAAATTGTACTACATCGAGGACGTGAGTGGGCAAGGAAGCGACAAGGGTGCGAATGCTTTTGCTGGTTCTTTTTCATCCTGTGACAGGCGGAAGCACATCCAGCCAAAGCAGGAGGAGTCGGACGACCTGCGCCTGGCAAGCGGATTGGCAACAGAACAAATCCAGCAACCCGGAGATGATGATCCCCGAATTACGAACTATATCCGGCTTCGTTGGGGCGTCGGCGGCTGTCGAGGCACAGCGCCACAACTGGGCAAAGCGCACAATCGAGCCCTCGGCTACGATGCCAGCCGCCTGCAGGATGGGTGCCGTAGAAGATGGCTGGGCGTCAAGAAGCGAGCTAACGTCCAGGCAGCTACGTCCTCGGCCTCTTCTCGAACAGTCAGCGCTGCTGTCAGCGCTAAGAAGAGGCGCACCGGCGACGCGATGGGGATTGGGTGCAGCAGTGACAGTGACAGCGATAGGGAAGGTCCAAGCTTAGTCTTCGAAGATCAAGAGGATGACTTACTAGCAGACGACGACGATGCGCCAGCGCCTCCGCCTGGTTTGCGCAAACACAAAAGGAAGACAAGCAGCAAGAACAAGAAGAGAAGGACTGGGGAGCCTGAAGTAGTTACGCCCGCAGTTGCATCTGGGGAAGCGACATCTGGGCGCCGGCGTCCAATGGTTTCATTTTCTTCGCGCTCTGCTTCGAGCTTAGCCTTGAGTGTAGGTGCGGGAGCGGATGCAGGTGCCGCGGAAACAGAAGAAAAGCCGAAACGCCACCAGCGTCCTCGGGTTCAAAGTCGGACAAAGCAGGCCAGCACCCGAGACAAAGAATCAGCTCCAGATGTCGACGGCGACGCTGATCTCGCAAATGCTACGGATGACGAGGAAGTTCAGGACGTGCGGGCAGCTGCTGACCCGCGAAAAGTTTTGGTGGGTAGCACAGAGCTTGACATAGACAAAGTGTACGCTTATGCGTATGAGACTGCTGGCGTTACTGGAGAGGAGTGGCTGACTGACGAGCAAAAAGCTGAAGACGCGCACGCAAGGAGGGCACGGCTCCTTGAAAGGCGCAAAATGGACGCCTTCATCTACGGCGCGCAAAAACATTACGCAAGCTTGCAGCTTCTGAGGCAGCGCATCGGGAACCGCGAGGTATGCCGCAGGCTAGAGCAGGTTGCGCCGAGCCGAGACCCGGCCATCTGCAACGACCCGGGGCAAGCGGAAAACCGAGCCCCGGTGGTGGCGTTGCGGATGAGCTCGGACGGCGTCAACATCAAGGGCAGCAAGTACTCGACAGCTGAGTTCGACATGTTCATGATGGACGCCGACATGCGGGTTATCCACCGGCCAAGCATTGGGGCGCCGCTCCTCACGGAAGAGTCCACTGCGCTTACCATTCTAGACACGGTCTACGATCAAGCAGCTGAAACTGGCGTGCCGATTCTTGGGATGCCCATCATGTGTGAGGGTAAAGACGCGCACGGCAATCCGTGCCAGAAGGAGCACGAGCTGATAGTGCACCAAGTTTGGTGCTCAGATAGCGGCTCTGATGTGGTGAAGGGAGGCGGTCTTTTGGAGCATCTGAGTGACGCTTACAAGTGGTACCAAAAAACGCATGGGGCCGCAGCCGCTTCTGACTCGGGGGCAAGTGCTGCAAGCGTGAACATGGCGCAGCAGGTTGCTCGTGCTGATGGTGTTTGTGACGGCAATATGCCGGGCCGAACGCCACTCGAGGAAAGCCCTCTTAGTGAAGCTATCGAAGTGGAGCAGGCTCATGCTGGTCCCGGCAGTCTTCTGGTTGGCGGGGAGCCTCCTCTGAGACCGAGCGACGACATGGCTGACGTTTTTGATGCTGGTGAGTTGGCTGCAGCAGCACCAGGCGCAAAACCAAAGGCAGCCTGGATGAGCGTCAGTCACGAGGTCCAAGTCGAAGGCAGTGCGCTACCATCCTCACTCGGGCACGATACCGGCGCCATCCATGAGCCGAGCGATGCTGGTCAGGCATCTGGCGTTGGCGCTGCCGTAGACATTTTTGCAATTTCGTGTGAACAGGCTGGTGAACGTGGTCGCAAGCTGGACTTGGCGGGGGGACTCCGTCGAGGTGGTGACTTGCCTCTTGGTCTTGCGCACCGCAGAACGATGCGCGGAGTTGTCAGCTCTTTTTCTCGACGTGGTAACGGTATGCGCCTGGGTATGCGTCCATTCGCTTCGGCAGGAGGAGCCAGTCCTCGAAAGCCTAATGCCAAGCCCGCTCCTGCTCGCTTTGTAGGCCGTGCACCGAAATGGACGATAAGTACCGCTGTTGCTGGGCGAGGGCGCAGAGCTGACATAGACCGCAAGAAACGGCGCATCGACTACGAGGACCTGGGCGGCGAGGCGGTGCCTCTACCGGTTCCATTCCGGACAAAGTGGACGTGTGTTCGGGTAGCGTGCCAGTTGCACTTTAATTTATGGCTCAGCTTTAGGGTTGGTCACTGAGATCGAAGAGGCGACACCTTGAGAGAACAGGGGAAAATTATCTAAGGGAGAGGGGAGACCTTTGAAGGGGATCGCTTCCGTTCAGAGTCAGTGACCTGACTGCTGAGCTTTAATTAATCATATCACCTCGGGGGTTTTGCTTCTTACGCTGGGCGTGCGAGTGCTCTTGACAAGCATGTGCTTAGTTGCCCGCTTGTATTTTTGGGACGCCGTGCATGTTCCGCAGTTGGTGAAAACGCGGTGGGGATCGGCGTGCGATTCTCTTCGAGTTAAGGCCACCGCCATCCATGGCACCCGTTTCCTTTGTATCTCGTTTTACTATTCTACGAGTACCTGCCCCATTTATTCGCAATTGCTGCGGTTTTGGATTAGGTTTATTGTTATTCACGCTCGCCCTCGCATGAGAAGGAGAACGAGACACAAAGGAAAGTCCGGGC